GATGTGTGTGTTTGGTTGTGTCGTATACAGATTGTCGGCGCTCCCCCTCGTAGCGACACTCTTTGTTCACAGTCCCCCCTTCGTGTGTCTTACAAATTTTCTGAGCCCCCCCTCAATATCTTCATCCCCCCCCCGTGTCATATTAACTGAACTTTCCGTAAAGCGTCCTTTTTAACAGTGCGGATGGTGCGGAAATTTGGCCCTCAAATTCAGCAACTTGAAGACTAAACTTCCCAGATTTCCGTCGTCTTTTTTGGAACATGAATTATGACGTCATAGATAGTCGGGAGCCTTAGTAGGTAGCGGAACTAATTGGACAGCCGATAAGGGAATTTCTATAAAGCTCGTAGAATATCCTATCCTATTGCTGTGGATAATCACAACATCCTTGCGTGACCTCATCCATTGCACGATAATGAAGTGTAATTTTCAGCTTCTTCTTATAGGCGTGAACTGTTTGCTTTCTTCCTTGTTTGTTGGTAGATCGGGCGCCGGGGTTGGCAGTGTCCATTGCACGGATGGAAATTACTATGACCGATCGAAACATCGACATGTATCTTGCTCTGAATGCAAAAATGAATTTGAAGATTGTTTTTCCTGTTGTAAGAAAAACACGGGTTATCAAGGTATGTGAGGTTGAAGATTCTCAACTTAAAAATTATCAGCCAGGACTATCAAATTAGGGAAGAAACCGACAGAAGCAATAAAAAAAGAGGATTTGATACGAGTGGCAGACTAAGCTCAAAGCTTTTTAAACCTTCTTGGATTTTTTAAACCAGAACATCAGTTCCAAGTACAACAATTCAATGCTACGTTTATCATCCTTGCGCAAATAAGGATTAAATTTTTACAATATCAAACGAAAACAAAAGTGTCAAAAAAAGAGAAATGATATCAGATATTATCAAATATATTTTTTGACTTTATTTCTTCGAGTCCAATACGATGTACCTTAGCTTTTTTATCTGTATCTGATATCTTTGCTTAGTTATTCACAAAGTTGTTTCGGACAATCCCGTCTAAATGTTGTAGATTTCATTGTTTTGATATTAGCACTTGTGAAGGGGTGTATGTAAAACACGGAACCTACCCGGAACCTACCGGAACCTGCCGGAACCTACCGGAACCTGCCGGAACCTACCGGAACCTGCCGGAATCAACCGGGACCTACCGGAACCCCCCGGAACCTACCCGGAACCTTGAAAAAAGCGCAAATGATAAAATTAAAAAAAAAAACAAATAACAAAAAATAATACAAATCAAATAAAAATAATGAAAATGAAATAAATATACTAAATATAGGTAGCTTCCACCTTAAAAATAGTCTGAAAGCTACAATTTTTATTATTTTATTTCGTTTTAATTATTTTAATTTGATTTGTATTATTTTTATTGTTTATTTGGTTCCCGTCCTCTTGTTAAATCAGCCTAATACTTGAACAGGTCGGCACGTGACTAACGGAATGCCAAAGACCAAAGTACAAAGTATTGTTTTACGACTCGAAACCACGTGCGCTGTGGAAGTCAGCGAGAGAGCGTGGACAGTTTTTTCAAGTACGACCATGAATGAAGGGAAAGCCGAGACGATCACCATAGAAGATGAATCACAGTCTGAAGATGACAATAGTGAAGAGCTATATCAGCCGGTTTTTATGAGAACCGAGGAAACGTGTCCTTTTGCTGTATTCTGCCCTAATTAATCTGCAAAGTTGCAATCGCGGACAGTTGGCTGTAATCAAACGGCTATATGAGCTTATCATTGTAAGTCCTTTTCATTAAATCCCCCAATCATTGATTACAATCACTATAGTAATAAATTTAAGAGAGTAACTTTGTAAAATTGAGGAGGTTTAGGCTCCGGCGACTGTTTTGAAAGAAACTTAACAGCCATTTTGCAAGCTGCTCTCCATATTTTTAATTGTGATATTTGAAAATGACTGTTAAAAGCTCTTTTTTAGTTGGCAATTTTACTTTTGTGGGAAATTGTAATGGTTATGATTAATTGGTAACAGGACATCGTGTCATCCAATTCAATCTGTAACCATACTCCTGATTAACAAATCGGACTCCCGTTTCGCGGTCGTCCCATTTGTTAATTACTCATATGATTACAGACCGAATTGGACTTCACTCAGTACGATTACCATCATAAAGAAAGGTACCTGTCAACGACCGTTGTTTTGTCTTACTCCCATGTAATCGACGTCGTTGTGTTTCCTTCAAGTACTCATTACGTAACTATCTACCCTTGGTTTAGTGGTATTTCCTACACCCATCACTCTGTTTTGAAAGGTGTTTTGTTGCGTTCTTAGGCTTTGTTTAGGGTAATATCGAGCCCTTAGCGTTAGGTTAATCGTGTCTTCCGTCAACAGGAACGACGTTTGTAATCATGTTCTGTTTGTTAGTTTATCAGGGTCTTGACGATGTTGAATAATGGTAATCAAGACAATAATCTTGGTAAATGAGGTTGAATCTGTCAGCCGTTAATGTCCGTTGCTTGTGTTAGATCAATAGATAAATTAATACAAACGTTCCGGCTTCTACGAATATTTTTAAGCTCCAGCCATTTTATGCATTATGTATATGGGAGGGCAGTTGTTACCCGCCAACCAAAGCAAGCCAAACAGCAGTTTTTGTCACAAACAGTGAAGTCATATGTTCTCGTATCTTTTCACTTGAATAAACCAATTCCTGTGTGACTTCGTTTAGTTCTGGTTGTTCTTTTTTAATGCAATTCCACGAAAAGTTAATGAACCCGCGCTTTCCTCTTCTTTTCTGCGCCTGTTTCCTGATTAGCTCGTAACTCCCTTAGTCACGTGCCGTTCTGTTACCGTCATTTTGAAGTGAAAACTATTTATTTTTATCATTTCTATAGCGTTTTATTCTTACTTTGTTACTTGTGTTTATTTTATTTCTTATCTTTATTTTATTTTATTTTTATTATTTTGGTTTCCGGGGGATTCCGGGTCGGTTCCGGGTGATTCCGGCAGGTTCCGGTAGGTTCCGGGTAGGTTCCGTGTTTTACATACACCCCTTGTGAAGGACCTAATCAGTCCCATCTTTCTTGCTGAATGAGAACAACTGAATTATTCAGAAAACACTCTTGTATTTTGGCAAAGTCTTTTCCACGTAAAACTGATTTTATATTGCATTTCAAAACATTAAGCTTTTTCAGCAGGTAGAGTTCATTTGTATTGATAAACATGCAATACAAAAGGAAAAGAAAGATCTGTTTTCGCGTCTACTCTTACTAATTACTTTGTTCTTTCCTATTTGATAAACGAGAAATAATTTATTTTTCTACAAAAATAGAAGTCCGTTCTTAATGTCTTATATAGTTTGGTGACAAAAATTTGAGTCAGTCGATAATGCTTTACCTTTTTTATCACAAGCAAGGGTAACATAAAAGCAAGTAGATGGAAAGTAGAGCCGACGCAAACATCAAACGATCGCTGCCATTTTTAAGACACTTAGAAAATTTTTTTGACCCGTTATTAAGAGTATTTCCATTAAAAAGAAAGAAAATTTCAACCCAGGGTCGAAGCCGGACCTTTCGTATCCTAATCTCTCTCCCTTATTAAAAACACTACACTACCACAACAAAAAAATTTAAGAAAATATAAATTTAAGCACATAAACTATCAAACTGTCTTTCTTATCTGATACATCAACGACAAGTGACCCTGGCCCTTTCCATAACTTTTATCGTAAATTCAACTTGGACCTCTACGTCGTTCTTTCTCATTCTCGACCCCAGTGCTTACGGTGATCTCTCTCCTCTACATGCGCAGAAGAGCTCTGGGTCGAGATTGGTTCTTTCTAAGACTATTTAAAAAACTTGTTATTCCAGGGAATCTAAAATATCTATCAGGACTAAAGGCTCGGTTAGCAATGGTGGTATCGACCGTTAAAATGGCAACGACCGTTTACGACAGGCGACCTGCTCCCCAAGGAACAAGTAAATCGTAGCCTACGTGTAGACATCTTAGTCCTTTCGGTTCTTTATGGAACTAGGACACATGTAGACTATAGGCTAATAAGTGGTTCTTGGCAGGATTTTTCAGTTTTTTTTTTCAATCCTGTTCAAGTAACAAACTATCATAACGCCAAAAACCCTGAACTTGCTAATTAAAAGCGAAATACTTCAAATGGTCAGTTTCGTTCGTCTGTTTTCGGAGCAGTTTTCAATGAAGAGCTTGTCAAAACAGCTTGAATGCCTTCTTAAAGGTTTTCAAACTTTTGTTGTTCTCAGTCCCTTGCTGCATAGCAAAGCAGCTTGAGGGGGGGGGGGGGGGGGGGGCGCATAGTTTTTCCCCGCCACTATGGGGGGGGGGGGAGGAGTCGCAATGGGGCCCCTATTGACACCTCCCTCGAGCGTTGGGGAGAGATGACAACCAACCCGAAGCTGTGACATAAGACGCAGGAAGAGTGTAATTATAATTTTATGTCTTTTTGTTGTTTTTTTGCTGTTTGTGGAGTTGTTTATGAATCGCATGTCTAAAACTTTTGTCTTTTTATTTGTTAAATTTTTTTTTGTTTTTTTTCTCTCCCCCGTCGGTAAAGAAAAGGGGGGGGGGGGGGGGGGGGGGGGGGTGCAATAATTTTACTCTGCTACCATCAAGTGACAGGAAGCAACCTCTTAAGGTTACCATCTGACACCGGCTATTACCTGGTGTTGGAATGAATACGAATACGAAAAGTGGAACTATTATACCTTGATGAGGTTAACAGTGCCTGAGTTATTGTAATGTGATCAGTATCTTCTCTCCTGATAGGTGAAAGAAGTAACACTACGAAGGTGAAATCCCATCCACAATCACAAGACGCTCCAAGAAAAGCAAAATTATCATCTTCAGAAGGTGCGGACTTCTCACCGAATATTCTTGTGGTCTCTACCGTTGGTTTTGTTATAGGTGCTTCTTTTTTAGTAGTCCTGCTCGTTGTCGTCAAAAGTTCAAGTGTTTGTCGTCACAGGGAAGCGGCCGTGAGCGATTCTCAGGAAGATGATATCGTAACAGAGGTGATAGCGATGGGGCCTCCATGTAATTCCGCTGAAATAGAACAAGGAGACACACTGTGATAACAGTGCAAGCTATTCTCAGATTAATCCTCAAAGATAAAAGTTAATTTGAACACTTTTCCAATTTAGATCTACCAATTCGGGACATATTGGGTCTGATTGGGCTGGATTCCTAATTAAATTAAACCTTCTATAGCGTTCTAGCTTAAAACAATCTCACGCCGGCAATTAAGACTTCCTTCTCCCGTTACAGATGCAAAGTACAAGGTGAATGTGTTGCTAAGGCACACACATTAAACTCCTAAAGTAACTCATTTTGATAAGGAATTTCGATCCAGTGCTCCCCACCCTCAAAAGGCATGTATCTTACCTCCCCCTATCCCAATTTGTATTACTGGCTTGCACGTTACGTCACGGCGGCCATGTTGGAGGTCAAGAACAAAAGCATTCCTCTCCTCTGGGCCGGCAACTAAACTCTATTTCCACGTAAATTTTTCGAGAAGAAATTCTATTGTATTGACCCCCAACATGGCCGCCTTGTCGCGTGGTTGCAAACCAAGATTACAGTCAACTCTCTCCAAGACGAACACCTTGGGGACCGGCACAGTCAACCTCGCTTCCAGGGTTCTCCCCTACCAGTCCCCCAGGAGAGAACCCTGGGAACGAAGTTGCGTCACAGTATGTGTCCATAGAGTTTTGTTGTGTTTCCCAAGGCAATATTGGATACGGGGAGTGGGAGAGCGGTTTTTCATTTGGCAACACTGTGCATTTTCGTCAGGACAACCAAAAAATTTGGGCATTTTTGTTATGTGCCCTAACAGATTTTGTTTGAGGACTGTAACACTTTAATCGACTTTATAAATAGTTTGTACGAAATTGTTTTTGTATATTGGTTAATACTGATACAAAAACATTAATTCACGTATCATGGGAAAAGGTCAGGTTTGTGTAAAAGGAAAAAATGTACATTCTGATATTCCTGATACTATTTATTTCATTCCACTAAAATATTTGTATGAAATTTTGTAGAGTGAAAATGTCATATAAGAAACCTAGATAAAAAAATTTCGGAAAAAAGTTGTTAAAAAAAAGAATTCTTCACTTTCTTTGTACAATAAACAGTACTGCAGATGAATTAATAGGAGGAACCTACGTTTCCCTTTCGAATTTCGCTGTATTCAAGTAGAAAGAGTCAGATTTTATCAGTACCCACCTCATTCATCTTCTCCATAATTCACCGACATAGTGGCCTCAAATGGTATTTGGTTACGCCTTTTGTCGTTGAAAGAGGAGAGCAATCATAAGCGACTCCGGAAGAGGGCTAGCTGACCTCCAGTTAGCCTTCTTCTAACCGGTCATGTCTGTTAGCGAAAAAAGGAATCGGTAGGCCTACACGACGTTCACCTCGCGTTAAAATACCGTTTGCTCCCACAATTTTTTTTCTAGCTGGGTAAAGGATTGGTAGATAATGCTGTGAGGATTAAGACTTTGATCGAGCATAATTAAATCTAAAATCTGGCCGTCAACTGTCAAAGCAGACCCTACACTATGCCCTGTTTATATCTCATCTATTGAAATCCCTTACCCTTTTCACGCTTTCTCAACGGTTAAGAAATCTCCCTTTTTTGCGGCAAAGCATAACCATGCAGTGGAATAATCCGCCATCACGAGAGAATAAGTAGCCTGCGTGGCGGGCGTGAAAAGGGGAAGGGGGAGTGGAAATAAGGGCGCGCGAGAGCGCAAAGAGCACGCCCGCGCAGGCTAGAGAATAGGGACTTCAAGATCCAACGACGCAACGGCAACGAGAGCGTCGCTTAAAAAGTGAATTTGCGATCTTTTAGTCTTCACAGCGATTATTCCTACCCACTGTCAAATGTAGGCACCCTCCTGAAGCTGAATTTCAAGTGACCATATTCAAGCTCAGAAAGAGAAATAAAATTTCGTTGTTGCTTGTTTACGTCCCGTCTTTAAAACACGGAATTAAGCGTTTTCACGTCGAAGTCTTGCAAAAACAGGAAAGAAAGGTACAAAAAAGAGTGATGCAAGTGAAAGTTGTTGTTTTGCTTATTAAACCTTTTGTTGTTGTTTTTTTACGTTCTCGTTGCCGTCCGCCTCGTTGGATCTTAAAGTCCCCAATAAGTCAGGCAATACATTGAGTAAAGCGGTGCAACAAATGACTCACGACGATACTGTTTGTGTTCCCTGATAACAGAGGGCTCTGATGGCAGGGACCTGTTTGTATCATGACCTATAAAAAGCATGTCCCGTGCATCTGCTAACGAAGTTGTACCATCTGTCTAGATCAGTCTCGATTCTTACGTTGCAGTTGATAGGGTTGACCTCATGACCAAAGCAAGCCGCGTGACATTATTGGCTATTTTAAGGTCTCTAGTGAAACTGGGTTGGAGCTGGGTCGAATTGCACCGGGAAAGTTTTGATGGATTCTGCTCAACCCTCTCTCAGGCTCTTCCGCAGAGGCTCCCGCTTGGTATTCCAATAAAAATAGCAATAATTAAAAAAAGTGGTAACCGTGCGGTGGACGATGGGTAGAGGGAAAAGGCCTCGTTTCCTCTCTTTCCGCTTCTCATCGTCCCCTGCGCCCTATCATTTTTTCCTCTTCCTAGCCTCCCTACAACACAAAAAGGCCTTTGCGGAGGAGAGAGTAATAGCCCAGCAATAAAGAGAAACGATAGCGTCCCAAAAACAATTCCCATTCTCACGTGCAACTGGCTCAAACTGGCCAATTGTGTTTATGAAAGGTGGCCGAAGGGGATTTTCCCTTCACATTTGGCTGAAATAAGATAAAAAGTCTTGCTTTGTCAAGTTTATTATTTGGCATTAGAGGTTATTCCGGGAAATTACTTGTGACGTTTTCAGAAAGCATGAATTCAATCCCGAGCTATCCGTTTGTTGTACTTGTTCTCAGCTTGACATTACTACAAAAATGTGTCTCACGTCCACCTACACGTCGACCTCTGTGCATGGATGGAAAGTTTTATGAAGAGAATGTATTTACCTATTTAAGCTGCAGTGAAGTCATGAAGCACTCATCCCACTACAAAAACTACGCTAAGTGCTGTGCAAGTGAGTAATTCGCTTGTTAGTATTTTCATGAGGGTCCCTTCTTCCTTTATCTGTTGTATGCCTAGTGTAACGCCTGGGTTTGGGAACGAAATCCTAAAGTGTGGTAATTCAAACCAATATATAAGTTGAATTACTTGCGAACGGCACATTTCCAGCGGACTCTCACGGAGCGTTCCAGTTACTGTCTTATGCAGTATATAAGCCAGAGGGTTAGAAACGCTAGCAAAGCACTTTTTTTTCGAAATATCTTGTGAAGTTATGCGGTTATGTTTTTGTTACAAAGAAAATTTGACACCCTCCATCAGAATGTGATTCGAATGATCTTCAGTTGTGTACCAAGGGTAACAATGATCGGAAGAGAATCAATCCACTCTAACAGCTATAATTTTAATTTTTCCTTAAACAGCGACGAATCCAACAAGTGCCCACTTTTCAAAAACAGCCCAGCTTTCATCAGGACCCAGCAGTCATCTCAGTGAGTCCGTTAAGGTCGAGGGACGTTTCTTTCTTCAGAGTGAAGGGTTTTGGAAGGAAGACATACTCATTGCCATGACATTTTTGCTCAGCTTCTTGTCAGTTTCAGTCTCTGTCTGGACGCTGGTGCTGGTAAGCCGAAGTACATTCGCTCTAGAGCATGTGATCAAGTTCTGCGTGACAACAGAGAAGCTTTTACCCCAACTATCGCTTGAAAGTAAGTGTACTTCTTATTACATTTTGAAGTAAAGCGCGTGTGTGTGTGCGTTTCTGCTGACGTTTTCCATCCTAACCTGACTGTGACGTGCCGAGTTTCGCTCGAAAACGAGAGCCAATCAACTCTTTTTATTTCTTTTTGACATTTTCTGTTGAAGCTTCAAGTGTTTTGTCTGTTCATGTTACTACCGTGACCTTGGCATATACAATACTAAGCGTAAGAGTAGCCTCCTACATAGACGTTCTTAGGGGTTCGTCACTCGTTCCACCCCGTCTGCCTGGGATCGATGCTAGCGTAAGCAAAAAGAAGGCGGAGCAACACTGCGGCTACCATCCTTTTAATATACCTCCTATGCAAGCTTTATCGCAACTGATACAGTGTAATCAGAATACAATGTGATTTTCTTTCTTGTTATCAATTTTTCCTCCCTTCAGAGGTCAAAGAATCACCAGGGAGACAAAGCCAAGTTTGACAGCAAATTGCGGTGGTTATTTGGTGGTGATGAGGAATTATGTTTGGGACGCCACAGAAACACCAACTAGCTGATATTTTGACCTTTTAATTGAACCATTAATCCCATGGAGTAATGAGTCATTCATTTAATCATTTTCTCAGTGTGTGTTCCCAAAATTTGACAGCCGGGTAGAAAACGTTCGAAGATCAAGTCAGTTCAGAAACTTTAGCCAAGAAAGTAAAGGAAGCAATTTCTCTATAAAACCTCGGTAGAGTGTTTCTATTCCAGGGTTCTATCCTGTTTGCGAAACTGTATAATATAAAAACTTATAAAATGGTATGTAGGTATCAACAGTAGAAAAAATTAAAAATCACTAGGTTGACACAAATTAAATGGAGTTTTACCAATAACAGCTGCTTTTTTCGCAACTTACTACATTTATACGGCGAAAGAACCTTTCTTTAACCTCATTCCTTTTTTATCAGAGTGACCATCAGGTAATGATGTTTGGCCATTACAGAGGTGTTATTCGCAAAAGAGCTGAATCACCTCTGTCTAATGTTCTCCAGTATACTGTACATCAGAAGCGCGAATAGAGGATCCAGTTGTATCGGACAATAATAATATGGTTTGTTTTAACATTGAATTACACTCTATTACCAATTTAGTTAACCCTGTTAAAGGAGCAGTTCGAATTATCAACTCCCAACTCCCTAAAAAGAAATAAATAATCAAACAGAAGTGTTGAACGATTTATTCAAACTGACGACTCCAAAGTTTTCCCTCCACAGACTTAGAAGTTATGGTTGTCCACCATTTTCGTCATTTACCAAAAAATAAAGATTTTCTCGGTTGGAAAGTAAATGCGCCTTCTTAGCACATTCCACTGGAAAATGTCCAAGCTGCAAATGACGGTTTTCTCACACAAATAAAAGTTTGTTACTTGCCCTCAGTTTGAACCTGACTTCCGGTTCGGTTCAGGCGTTCAAGACCGAACAATGACGTATGATTGTAAATTCTCCCATCCAACAGCATTTCCTACTGGAATCAAATATTTCCGAGATAAAGCGAGTCCATTCACGCTCCAACTTTCGACATAAATGTCAACTTATGGTTTACGCACACGCGAAACTGACGAGTTCGGGACTCGGCGGCAGAACTGCCACGCGTCGAGGGAGCGCGCCCAGGCCCGGGAAAACCCCGCAGGAATTAATGATGCAATCTCACGCAATAAATCCCGCCAGCCACCCGCGGCCGCCGCGCAGGGTAGAAGGCATACCGTGATTGGCCATGTTTAATGTGACGTCAGGGGACTCCCCTTCGCACATTGCTTATTTATGCTTAGTCAACAACTCCTTTTGGTGAGTTACAAGCTATTACTAGAAATTTCCAGTCCTCGGAAATCATGAATTTTTCATTGATGTGCTTTATGCTTTTCTGGATATTACCGAACTGCGATGCTCGCCCACCTCCGTGTAAGGATGGAAAGCTGTATGAAGACAGCATTTTCACCTACATCGACTGCAGCGTCTGTCTCACACAGTCCCACTACAAGAACTGCAGGACATGTTGTCCCAGTAAGTGAGAGTGTATTTACTAGCATCAATATTACTCTATTGACTTAGTTTTTTTTCTACCTGGTAAAATTTTCAGCGTCAGTTAAGCAAGTCATGACGTACATTTTCTCCACGGATTAGTCTAGGGCCATTTTATACAATCCAAAGGCAGTCCTATTATTTTACTTTGGGTAGCCTGCGTAGCAAGCGTTTCCGTTCGGTTTTGACCGCGCGAGAAATGAAACGAGAGCCTTATTTGCGCCACTTTTCTCGCGGTCTTTGACTCTCGTTCCTCGTTCTTCTCCTAAACCGTACAGAAACGCTTGCTACGCAGGCTATACTTTGGGTCGTTGGATGAGGAGAGAAAGAGTCGGACAGAGGGGGGTGAATAGGCGAACGGATCGGCGGATTTTGAAAATATTGTGCCCGGATTTCGGATTCAAAGCAAGATTTTAACGGATTTCCGAATCCTGCAACTGCAGCGGAATGCGGATTCATCTATTTTTTGGGCCCGGATTTTGGACTTTGCGTGTAATACAAATATTTTTTCCCGGATTTCGGATTCAGGACGAAAATTCAACGGCGGATTTGGTTGATAAATCACGGATCGGCGGATTTGCATACCCCTATTCATCCCCCTCCGGACAGTTCTTGTATCCTGTGTTGCTGTTAAGAGAGACCCTAATTGTTTGCTACTGGAGTGTGATCAAATAAGATATATTTTTGGAACTCTTAGCACTTTGATAAAGATGAGATGGTGAATTTTGAGCCTCGGGAATAGATGAAAAAGACTTTTTTTTTTTTTTTTAAGTCAGTGACACTTTAAGGAGTACGCGGAATTTTTTCTTACGAGCTCGTGTCACTGACTGAAAAAACATCTTTCTCGGTCCTCGGTAAGTCTTATTCAAGCCTTCCCAACTAGAAACAAATTATTGAACTGCTGGAACTGTTTTCGTAGCTTACTATTAATAGAAGTCGAAGGATCAGGACCGTCTTAGTTTATGTCACTTTCCAGTGACGCAAATATGTCAATTCTCTAACTTTATTTTTGCAGGAGAAAGTGCAAGTTTGCTAGTTTTCAGTCAATGTTTATTGACACTGTTTCGGGGCGTCTGTTGTGCATGGTATGCAATAAATTTCGAGGGAAAAGTACCGGATCGAGTGACGGCATTTCGAACTTGTGCTTGCGGTTCATTGCGGGGCACTTTCCAAATATCATATGACATTTGAGCATTCCTCCATGAACTCTATCGCACAGTTATATTTTTTTAAATTGAAAACCCCAAAAAGAATTTATACGTCAATGAAAGGCAATGCGAATCAGTGACTAGTTTCTCCTCAGCAGTTTCCGCACCCGCTCCGCTTCCCCTTCCGCCCTGACTCTTTCACACCGAAAAAAATCCAACGCAAAATAACGCCACTGTTTGTGTCACGATAGATAAATGCGATAGGAATGAACGTACTCCAACTGCGTGCATTTTTTTTATTTTCTCTCCAAATAGTGACTCAAGCCAGTGCTCAATACGATCAAACGATGATGACTTTAGTTCAGTCTAGCAATCGCCCATGGCCAATTACGACAGCATTGGATGAAGAAAGCTCGGCTCCTTCCGAGCACAAATCGCGCTTTTTGACGAAAGAAACCCTGGCAGCAGTTGTAGTTGCATTTTCCTTGGGTTTAATCGCAGGCGGGTTTCTGCTGCATATGTTTAAACGCTGTGTGGATTTTAGGAACCGTCGTCGTTCAAGAGAATCTCCTAAACGTAAGTAACTGTCTAACTAACCCTACAAGGAAGTGTAAATGCAGTCAGGCATCTTTATGTTGTTTTGCTAAGTCAATTAGTAACGGAACGGGAAGAAAACACGGTTCCATAACTGTCTACTTCTTGTCCCTCTCCACTACTGATTAACTGAAACGAGTCTAGTAAGATATATACGGGTATTATCTCTCCCGGGGTGGCAGGACGTGAAGGAGACTATGCCGTGAATTTCGAAAGGTCGCGCTCTCATGTAAACAGCCAATCACAGAGCGTGTACTATTCATGCGGATAGATATAAAAAGTGTATTTTCTTGATGATCTCAGCTTAGTTACCGTAAACATCAAACATAGGCGTATAAAAAGGAGGGGAAGGGGGGCATTACGAAAAAGGGTGGAGGAGGTGGGGTGGGAAGCCTTGAATTCTCCCACATTTACACCCGCCACATGTAAGGTCCGGCCGTTCACACCAAAGCCCAAAAATATTTAAAAAACAATTTTTTAGTTAGACACGGTTTAAATTTGTTTTCTTTATGAGAGCTGATTACTTCACTTTGTCGGTTGTAAATTTTATTGCAATAACGTAACATGTTTAAGTCAGCCTCGTCCCCCCAGGGCTTTTCTCGCTCCGTAGGGATGTGGAGGGAGAAAACCCTTAGAACGAGGCTGGCCCTAAGGCCATGGGGTCGAGGTTGTGTTAAAGTTAGTTTAAATCCTGTGTAAAAGCCTGTGTTCTTGTTTTTCGTTACTGTTTTTTATTTTTTTAAAATCCTTATTTGGCCGGTGTGAAAGAGGCATAATTTAGATGTTAACCTAATTTGCATAAATTCCATCCCATAGCACCACAACAGGAGACGCAGCCAAGTTCGACAGCATCGCCATTAGTAGTGGCTGCAAACCCTGTTAGAGCTGAGAATACAGACATGCCAGTAACCTGATGATACTCCTGGCGGATAGCAGAATCAGACTTTTTGTGGTAGAATATCAGAAAAAAATTGACAATAAAGAGATTTCAGCTTGCTCAAAAGGTGTTTTGAGTTTTTTGAAGTTTGGTGTCACCCGATAGGCGTATTGTACGTCAAATTACCGGATTCTAGGCTTTTTTAAGACCTTTAAAAAAACCAAGGAAGAGAGCTCCCCCCCCCCCCGAGAAAAAATTCAGAACTTTTAATAACATGTCTTCTCGAGCCAGTCAATGAATACTGTTAACTCTCCCCTTGCGGACATCTCGCTATATCGGACACCGCGGTATAACGGACAGCAACTAAATCCCCGGCGAAAACAGATTACAGACGTTTGACTGAAATAAAGTCCCGCTATTACAGACTCTCGCTAATGAGGACACTAACTCGAGGTCCCTACGGTGTCCGCTATAAAGGGAGTTGACTGTATTACGGGCTTACTGACACTTTTTCAGGTCCCGACATCACAATTCCTTTTGTTTTAACTTTCGTTGTAACGCACGACTGTTACTGTTAACTTTATTTTTACTCTGAGGGAGCCCAATGTCTATAAGCTTCATGGTTTCTTTTTGGGCTTCCTCGCCACTTTCATTTGCTTTTGTGTAACTGTCTTGTTTTATCGTTATTTGTATTTTGTGGTAAATCAAATAAAGTTACAAAGTTTACAAAGTTTGCCCGAGCAGCATCCTAATCTTTCACCATTCATTCAAAGCAGTAATTCATGCGTCTGTTATCATCGTCGTTGTCTTTTTGGATGGATTTATGGTTTTGTAGTGAGCGATCGATCGAAATTGTTGTCGTTATTCCTCTATTGAAAATGTTTTCACCCACCGCACCCTGCACGCTCTCTCTCGTTTTTTTTTTTAAAAAAGGAAGAACACTGACGACGCGCGGTCCCGATGTGGCTTTCAACGGAGTTCAATCATGTAGTCTACTATGGAGTCGTCATTTGTGTTACTTGACAAGCCCCCCGTGAGATCTCGATCCTTTATGAGAGAGGTGGGGGTGGTCAAACAAACAATTGACTGATCCCACCTGAATTGGGATTAAAACCCTTGGAGAAGACTCCAATATAAAAGTGACTAGGAAGCTAGACGGATAATTATATAATTAGAATTTTAAAAACCTCCGAAGGAAACCAATCTGGGCGTGACTAGCCAAGGCTTTAGTTACTGCTTGACCCCTAAATTAAAGGAGACTACCGTGTTCAACACAGTATTGATGACGGTGTTTTCTTTTTATATATAAATATTTCTTTACGCACAACCTAAGCGATAGGACAAGGCTTTTATTTGGGAGTCTCCGTCGGGAATTAGGAACCTTTATAAAAGACCAGTCTGGGATCGGGTGGCTCACTCTTTACTTGGCCCCTCAAAGGGTTTTTGAAAAACAGGTAAAAAAACCATTGACCCCTAAACCCTTCTAAAACAGTTAGCCAATTAAGAGCCCCAGTAATTTTTAATTGCTATAAGTTGAGTTATTGTTTGTTTCTTCACCCACATCTAAAAAAATACCTGTATGGGTAGGCGTACACTACACTTTAAGTCCCTATTCCCTCTTCCAGTGCACCCCGCCCTCTCCCCCAGGGCGCGCGAGCCAATAATGGCTTCCAAGGGAAGTCTTGAGCCACGCATTTTAGCCAGGCACGTTCAAATTTCCGTCCGCCATGCCTGAGAGCCTTACGCGTCAAATTCCCTAGGTCCTTCTCTCAAAATGGCAGCCTGCATGCCTGTACCTTGTTGTCCTTGTTGACGTGACAGGCCTTTCGGAGATTTTCCGAGCATCGTTACTGATCCTCTGAACATGCCTAACATGTACACAAACGCTGACAAACGAGAAACTATAAGTGTTAGGTTGACAGATACATTTAACCATTTCCTACGATCTTTCAGTTCGGGCACACTTGGCTTTCGCTACCTATCACGACATTCATGTGAATGTCTTTGTCAGGGATACGTCTATACCGAAGATAACGGCAGACGGAAGCCCAACGAAAAAGTTTGACAAATAGTGATGACTTGAGTTGAGATTAAGATCTCTGCAGGGGTAGTTTTGACCCGTGGCGCATTAGGTTTCAATGATGTGAAAGGTTGCTTTGTTTCAACTGAAAACAAACCTGGCTTCCAGATGCCCATTTCCTCTTAGAGTAAGTGTAGGCCAAGAGCAAGATCGATCTTGTTGTAGATCGGTTAACACACTAAGAGATGGCTGGCTCGGATAAAGACAGAGGAACATTCGGCGGTGTTGCGTTGGCCCTTAGTTTTACAGCCATCAGTATATCAATAGTTTGTCTCTTGCAAGTATTCTTCCTCTCTGGGCCGAATGCTCAATGTAGCTGTCCTCGAAATGCACGCGAACAGCCCCATTCGATTCCACAGGACTTGCGTAATGCGACAGGTAAAGTAAAACGGGCGAGAGGTCCACCAAAGGATATCGCAGCTAAAAAGACCCGTAAAGAGACTAGCAAAACAGTGAAACAACCACTGGAGGAAAAGCATGCTAGGAAACGACGAGCCACACAGAACAAGGCTACACAGACAAATACCAACACGGCTTGGGGAGGATATTTGCACAACGCTATTTTGCGGCTACAGCAGCAAATGATCGTAGTGGAGGGAAGGTAAGCGTGAACCATACTTTTTTTTGTGATGTCCGACGATAACATACCGCCTGTGAGTTTGTCATACCATTTTTAATACAATTATCGTCCTGAACACATATTTTTAGCAACAAAGAGCACAAAGCGAGTAATCCTTGTTTCTCAGTTACTGGATCTTAGTTTGAGTCCACATCTTTAATTGGATTTTTTTGACTTACATGCCGTATGTCTTGCCCGAAATATAGTAAAATCATCAAATAACTCCAAGCCCAGTGTCAAGCCTACTGCGTGATAGCAAAACCCCATTCCTCCATGCAGGGAATATGAGCCACCTAACTCACTTATAAATGGGTATCTATTTTTGTTTTTTGGTATGTTTCACTTTTAAGTCTGAAATTCCGTGCAAAAATCTCTTCCACCCTTTCATGGAATAACAACTCTCCGGCCAGCAAGAGTATGGTAAGCCACAGGTGGCCGAAACTTACGTTTTGAGGAAAGGGTGTAATGTAATCCGATTACATGTTATTGGTGATGCGTGACTTTTGTGCTGGACGCACTGGTGTTGCGTGTCGGTGTCGCGTTACAGGCGACCTTGAAAATCTGAGAGACTTGGTATGAGAACTGAGAACTGCGTGGGCTAAATAACGTTAATTCTAAACTTTTCCTTCAATGAAATGAATACAAAAGACTTAACCGTGATGTATTCCACTTTATTTTGGTGTCTGTTCCTCGTCTTACCTTTTTTTTTTTTTGGCTTTATTGCATAACTACTGTTACTCCCTTCATAAGACGAAGTCAAGGCAGCCTGGTCATTCGATCTGGCAGGGTCCTGGACCAGTCGCAACAAGAATGCTGTTTTCGCCGAAATTCGAATCCGCTACAAATTTTTTCAGCTTTAACTCAAGCAGGAAACCTCGTCTTCCTCTCTGGGAGATCGGCTCGAAAAAAGCTTTATCATTACCCCTTCAAATCAGGCTACGTTGCGCTTACCAACAATTTGCATTTTCGCCAGGGTGACAATTGAAAACTAACCTGTTTTCTCACCATCTAAGTGCAACTTTATCCTAAATTTTCACTTTCAGCGCTTTTCTTTATCAACGGCTTGACAGAAATGTTTTTAAATCTCATCACATATTCTTCATGATGTACATAACACAGGGGCACCCAACGACAATTTTCGGAAGAATATCTGTTGGGAAGACGATTTAAGATCTAGAATTTTCGGAACATTTGTTGTAACATTTCTTGCTTGCCTGCCTCTCCTAGGATTTTCGAACATCAAAAAAATGGTCTGAATTGCCTATTTTTAACGGATTTTTGCCCTAAAAAGGTCACCTAGAATTTTCGGGAGCCTTTTTTCTGGCTGAAATTTTCGAAAAGGTAAGTTTTGATCCCTATAATTTTCGGATCACTACACTTTCAGCTAGGAAATCCGAACAGATGAAAAATTTTTAGGGAATAAAAATATGCCTATATCTACCGTTTATATACTAAAATACGTTTAACAATGCTATGTTTAAGTGGTTTTGAACTATATTCTCGTTGGGTGCCCCTGATAACAATGTCTGAAACTTTTATTAAGATTGATTCACCGCAACATCTTGAATTTTTAAGAGAAATCTAGCCTACGAACCGGCTAAAAATCCTCGTTACAACATTCACTCTCGGTTTTGGCGTGATGCTAATTTTTCCAAATTGATGCCCATCCTACATTTTAGTATGAGTTTTATTGCATAATTATTTTGAATGTGAAACATTGACAACATTCACATTGAAATGTACTACCCATAGAGGTATGTATGGTGGGTATTAATTTGGGAAAATTAGCATAACGCCAAAACAGTGAATTTTGTAACGCGGATTTTTGGCCGGTTTTTGGGCTAGTTCGTCTTGAAATTTCAAGGTGTTATAGTAAATCAATCTTAATGAAAGTTTCAGTTTGTTATATACATCATGAAGATTGTGTGATGAGATTTAAAAAGAATTCTGTCCTGAGTCGTTCTAGTGATTTCAGAAAAGCGCTAAAAGTCAAAACTTAGAGTAAAGTTGCACTTACACAGATGGTGAGGAAACAGGATAGTTTTCACGATCGCAAGAAAGTTAATGCACTAAAATTTCCTAGCATCGAATGTTGAGCAGTCTTCTGCCGCTACTTAAGATTTATTTGAGTCTTTTAGAACTTTTTCATGAACCAATTTATCACGGCTATTGAAAATGTAAGGTTTGAAATATATTTAGTTTTACGTTTTATTTGAATTCAAACATACAGAATTTTTTACTTCTCACGGAGGTTATTTGCTAACCACCACACTATAAGTACCTGGTGTCGGATTTTCAGTAGCAGGTCTAGATCGCGCAAAATTTGGATTTTATCGAGTTTGAAGTTTTTTGTTTATTGTTGTCATAGTGATATCAATTTTACTAAAAACTGCATTTTGACAAACTTCGATTCATAGTCAATCACTGGTGAGAGGTTTTTTGCGATGGGACAAGGACAAAATCACTTTTAAGGATATTGAAAAACATCGGTATGGACTCCGAAAAACTGTATCGAAACACCTTAAAACGATATAATAAGGTTTGGGCATTTGACCAGGAAACGTCATAAACTTGACTGGCTTTGAATGTCCCCTGCCATAAGTTGTTGACCCCAGGAAGTTGAGTATGTGCAGCAGTCGATTTGAATTTTAGCAAAGAAACAGTGAAGAAACGCATATCAAAGTTAAATTACACGTGGTTTTCTACTGATAAACTTCGAGCTGTAATGACCGCAAGAATAAATCTTCCGTTCGTGACTACCGTAGAGCTGCCTCAATTACTAACGGACAGAACCCTGTTGTTCAAAGGGTGCCTATCTGATGGATAAATCACTATTCATTGGATAACTCCATTGGTTTCCATAACACTTCCTTATCTACTGGGTAGTAACTATTCAGTGGATAGTCAGGTGCACCCAACGAGAATATAGTTTAAGTGGTAGGTCAAAACCACTTAAACATAGCATTGTTAAAAGTATATTAGTATTTAAACCGTTCGGATTTCCTAGCTGAGAGTCTCGTGATCCGAAAATTATGGGGATCAAAACTTACCTTTTCGAAAATTTCAGCCAGAAAAAAGGCTCCAGAAAGTTCTAGGTGACCTTTTCAGGGCAAAAATCCGTTAAAAATGGGCAATTATACCATTTTTTAGACGTTCGAAAATCCTAGGAGAGGCAAGCAAGCAAGAAATTTTACAACAAATGTTCCGAAAATTCTAGATCTCAAATCGTCTTCCGAACAGATGTTTTCCGAAAATTGACTTTGGGTGCCCCTGGATAGTACTAGTACATCCCTGAACTCTTAAACAACTGGGGTCTGGGTCTGCGGAACAAGAAGCACGGGCTTGACTAAAAAGCTACTGTTTTCAAGTGGATGAGTTCGCTATGACCGCTGAACTAAAGAAGTGAAGACGCATTTTTTGCAGCCTTAGCCTCAATCTGAAGTAATATGTTCATAAATTCCAACGAGAAAAAGACCTGTTTATTACTCTGTCTATTGTGTATATTCAAACTTCAAACGCTTACTTGCCAGAATTTCTGAATATTTTACTTTACGTCGAGGCTAACCCTGTATGAGTGTGTCGTTAATGTTTATATTCAGCGGTAATTTTTAATTCGAACTGGACTATTAGAACCTCGTCATTATGTGCATTTTTTCGTCGTGTTTCTTGCAGGACTCAATATTTGCAGGAGCAGTACACTAAGAAAATAACCCAGGTTCCCCCTCGTGGTCCTCCTGGCTCTCCAGGAATACCGGGTAGAGATGGCTCCGATGGAAGACCGGGAATGGATGGTCCTATGGGCCACCCGGGTAGAGACGGACCGCAGGGTAAAGATGGTCACCCCGGATCGCCGGGTTCAGCTGGCCCCCCGGGTGTCAATGGTCTTCCCGGTCTACAAGGACAAAAAGGTTTTAAAGGAGAAAAAGGAGAACCAGGCCAAAAAGGTTGTTTGTTAAATCTGTACATTAATTTTTAATCTTTTGAACTAAATTAAATTCTCTGTAAAATCTCTGATTGAACTATCTCAAGCAATATTCTCTCGCCTTTTTCTCTTCTTTTTTTTTTCGTGGTTTATAGCTCTGAATCGCCGGTAGAGAGCCACAAATAAATCCACTTATGAAATAATTATGACGCTTTACCACTACCATTATTTTGTTAACCTCCCTGTGGGCAAGTTCCCCACTCGCAAGAAATAGCGATAGTAAAAAGCTACAGGCCGGTGAACCGCGCAAGATTAGAGCATGAGATTCGACTTCCGCCCCCGCCCCCCCTTCCCCGCCCCGCTCCGCTTCCTTCTTGCCAAGTTTCTCGCAGAAAAACCGAGCCCAATCTTGTATTGCGTTCTACAAGCACACGGACCAGTTTCTTAATTTGGTCTTGCTTTTATTTAGGTGACCGAGGACTAACCGGATTAAAAGGGACCAGGGGAGTCGCTGGAATACCGGGGGAGAATGGTGAGCCCGGGATCCCTGGTAGGGTAGGGATCAAGGGAGACAAAGGAGAAGCTGGTGAGACTACTTGCTATGTCACGGAAAAGGGTCGGCGTTTGGAAAAACCTTGCCTTGAAGCTTCTGTTTACGACGATTCAGCTGGGACCCAAAACACAGGCGATACAGGGGGTCTTACGTATATCCGGTGGGGAAGAACTGCATGTCCCGTGGGAGATGCCAAGATAATCTACTCAGGTAAGATACTACTTTATTCTGGGAGTCTAGAACCCATAAAGCGCGGGAAAATAATCTCGTGCTTGCAATTTGCAAACAACGCGCAGTCTTGCTTCCGATCCATCAAAATCTTGAGAACGAGGTTGACTGTCTTTTTTTGAGTCTCCGTACGCATCAGGGGAACCCAACGAGAATATAGTTTAAAACCACTTAAACGTAGCATTGTTAAACGTATTTTAGTATTTTAACGTTAGATATTGGCAGATTTTTGTCCCCTAAAGATTTTTCGTCGTTCGGATTTCCTAGTTGAAAGTCTAGTGATTCGAAAATTATAGGGATCAAAACTTACCTCAGTTCGAAAATTTCAGCCGGAAAAAGGCTTCCGAAAATTCTAGGTGACTTTTTTTGGGTAAAAATCCGTTAAAAATGGGCGATTATGCCATTTTTTAGATGTTTGAAAATCCTAGGAGAGGCACGCAGGCAAGAAATTTTACAACATGAACAAATGTTCCGAAAATTCTAGATCTCAAATCGTCTTCCGGACAGATATTTTCCGAAAATTGACGTCGGGTGCCCCTGATATGACGCATTCCCAAAGCGCGAAGCTTCTCGCGCAACTTCTCTAGTTATTTAGTTGGATTTGATTTTTTATAAAGTGCCAGTGCCAGTGCGACTTAATGCAACTTTATTGTCCGACAATATGAGCTACGGGCTGTCGGGAATCTCCCCTGTATTCATAAAAATCCACTACAATTCACTTGATGTAGTTTTATTCATAATAACGAATCCCAAAGTCACTGTTTTTGCAACTCACTCACTCACAGTTATTTTCGGCACAACAACTTGGTTTAGATAGCGTGATCTTCTCCCCTCGTCTCCCTACATGAAACCTAACCTATATTATTATAAAGTGATTGACATTTAGTATTATTTCCACGATATCAATTAAGGCATGGGTCGTACTTGGGAAAAGTTTTCATCTTTGCCGGCTAAAAAACCACAAAAATTCGAAACCGCAACCGGAAAAGAAAACTTTTAGTCTAACCGAGGAGGGGAGTTAATAGTTTTTGCTTTGACACATTGAGAACTTAAGAACGCCAGATACCAGAAAACATTTTTCTCTTCTTCGTCCGAACCTTTGTCGAAGAATCTTTTTCCTCCATTCCCAGTTTCAGAAGGATGGGACAGATAAAGAAGACCAGAAAGTGCTTGGATGCGAATAGTGCATTTGGCTTGGAGAATAACAAACCTGTCAAGTGTTTGCTAGTGTAGACGGGAACTGGTTCGTCTTCAATAGAGCTAGTTCCCGTAAAAACCTTAAACGAAGGTTTATAAGTTAGTGAACTCCTTGCCTGTAGAGAGTTTTCGAAAAAAACTTGAAATGGCGAAGGATAGCTTTTTTGCCGATTTTCAAAGTTTTTTCTAACTTGAAAACTCGGGGTCGCACTTAGCAATGTCCACCGATGACAGATTTCTACCGCAAGGTAAACAAATTCTCCCAAAAATTTGCCAAGTGCGACCCATGCCTAAGAAACCCAGACATCTTATCAGTTTTCACGGTTCACTTCGTGACTATTCCTTGAACTTACCGGAGATCATGAGCTAATTATTTATTTAGCAATCAACGTTGTCATCAACTTGAAATATAATAGACTGCTTGCGGTCCGCTTTTTCTCTTAAAATCCGTCTAGTTCTCACAGCGCGATTGCAAACCACGACATTATGTTACAACTCGCGTGCTTGGGTTTTTCTTGTGGTAACTTTGCAAAGAAAAATAAGAGACTGCTCGCAGCCTAGAAATACGAAAAGGCGAAAAGGATAAAAATATACTACGAAATATGTGCACACACTATTGGCGCACAATTCCCAACAAGATGAAAAAGTTGATGGATCGGCTAATATACCTCCATTTCCCAAAAATAAATGCTGTAAAGCATAACGAGATTATTTTGTTCTCAAAAGGGCAAGCTGCAGGTACACGTCACCAAAAGTCCCGCACAGGAGGATCACCCTTCATATGTGTACCAAACCAACCCTGGTACTTCGGCCAGGTAGATGCCAGTACTCCGCTAGCAAATGTGACCCAGGTAAGCTCCGAAGTCTTGGCTCAAGATACAACTCGGAGCACACTCCACGGAACCTACTTTTACCTTTCATGCGTGCTATGCTTAGTGCGCAAGCGCAGTGTTCAGATCATGTTGCCTGCTCGTAAGGAGTGCTATAGGGGATGGCATCGGGAGTATGATGGATACCTGGCTGTGCAGACTAACTGGAAGGACCACAAGGACCTCATCTGCGTGGATCGTCAATCCAGGGGGCTGTTACAAGATGCTGATTATGTACGTGGGCTTTATGCGAGTTGCGAGACGTTCTCTTGTCCACCATACGTCGAATCTGAAAGGCTCCCGTGCGTTGTGTGCACTATGTGAACAGAACACTCTCAGTACTTTCGCTTTTATCCCGTGGATTCAAAAGCGAGAACATAGCTAAATCATTTATGCACAGTATCATTAGACTGCAAAGCAGTCGCTCTTTTGCGTCGGCCGCGAAGGCGCGTAGTCGTCAAACGAAAGGTCGGGAATTAGCAAGTGAAAAATAGAGAGATTCTCTCGCCCTCCCCAAGGCTCACTCCTCGCACGCCAGTATGCACGCTCTTAGGTTTCGTGCCTTACAACTGAGCTGCAAAAAAGTGACTGACTGTTTTGCAGTATGGATTATCACTTTTTTTAGAAAAAAAAGAAAGAAAGAAAACCAAAGATCTATAGCCTGATATAGTAAGCAGTAACAAAGTTTGATTTTCTTTTTCGTTGTTAGGAGACCTGGAAAAGGTAGGTGACTTCGAGCCTTAACAAAGTCTTTAGACTTTATTCTTAATCTCTGGCTCTGTCTTTCAGGTTTTGTAGCAGGACGTTAGAGAGCTAATAGTGCACGAGCGTGAGTGTTTATTTTTCCGTAGTCCACCGTGACTATTTTAACCCGTTTATATTCCTTAAAGGTTGCTCCAAAGTCTCGTGCGTACTCGTTTTTAGAGAGAGTTACATGCCCTCCTCCCCATATTGAATAGGGGGGCGCATACTACTGAAGACCCTGAAAATGTCTGCGTGGAAAACTAGATGTTATAGATAATAGTGTTATACATAATAATAACCAATGAAATGTTCATAATTGTTTCGAATATTTTACATTCTACTTGTTCTATTCTGATAATTTTCAATCTAAAGGTTAAGGGTTAAGGCATGGTTATAAGCCCCATCCACCTTTTTAAGCCCATCGTTATGTATCGTTATATATATTACTTTGTCATGCTCCGGTTACATTTTAAGTTAGAGTTTTGAATCAGATTTTTCTCGGAGTTAAATAAAGAATGTGTCGTTATTATCTTGTTTCGAGAGGATTTCCATTCTTGGCCTTACAAGCCTAGTTTCAAACCGAGCAGGGCTGGGAACGAGTCCATTAATTATGGGATAAGCAAACCGACGAGACTCACATAGACAGAAAGAATGCATTGAGATTAGGAAAAATCTCAAGTTTGGTGTCAATCTCTTTATAACCACGATAGGGTCTTTACCTAACTGAAGAACAGACTGTAAAACACGAACTGACAAAGGACGAGCAAATAGATTGGGAACTCGAACATTTCTGTGACTCTCACATTTACAAGTGTCGGAGCCAAGCTGGGAGGAACGGCTTTGAAGATCTCAAAATGATGAGAGTTTTCTCATTCTCTTCAAATGACATGCGCTTTTAGCTTAGCTTTAAATGAAAAATGTTTAAGCTATTGCCAGTCAACTAACATTTTTTGTAAGGGATGAAAAAGATCATTCCTGATAACAGACATAACAGTTCAATTAAAAAGAACCTTCGTGAAAAAGCAAAAGCAGACGCGCGAACGTACGGTCAAAGTCAAAGTAGGCGCGAAATTAGAAACGCAACCGGTCATAAGTGATTTTAGCACGTTTCTTAAAATTAACAAATCTAGGGAGCAAATGTTTTTTAACGGTTAACTATTTTTACCCTAATTACGGCTAACGGTTAAAATTTTTCAATTTTTACGGCTATCGACTAAATTTTTTGGCCGTTTTACGCCTATCGGTTAACCCCATTGAGACCCTTACCAAACGACTGTTTTCTGAAAAATCTGTTCGAAGAAGTAAATGTATGGAGCCCTAATATGCGGTTTGCTTTTTCGAAAGAAATTAAGGCGGAAGAAGGTCAGAAAATCTTAAGTTAATCGCAAACTTTTAGCACCCAACAAAACGTTCAGAAAAATAGTCCAATAAAAAAGGCCTAAAAAATTCGAAAGGGATAAAGACGCTCTACGATGGCCGAACAGATAAAAATTCATTGCACCAGTCGGAGAGAGAAGGGGATTTAAGAGCACTTAAGGAAACCTAAAAATGGTTCAAGTTTTTAACAGGTAGCAGAAAGCAGTAATTGGCGGGGTGCCACTTTAAAAAAAGCCAATTTTGCTTGTGATTGTAGACTAGTCTTCTCGTTCCTTCAAAAGCTGTTACAAATACAATTTAACTTTCGTAAGCGACCACCTCAAGTGTCGTAACATGTTCATTTGCAATCATGCGGGACTCGGGAGTGAGGTGGTCGCCGATATTAAAAGGTTAGACGTTACTATAGCTTTCGTTCTAAGCAGTTATTTGAGGGTGAAAGTAAAATTAATTGATGGCTCAGGTTTATCTGAAACAATATAATTCTCTACGCGTGGTGTTTGGAGACTGAAATCAATTCACATATCCGATGAGCTTTTCAATCTACGTATAAATTAATTGAAAGGAGGTTTCACGTAGTTTTCCAGACATTTTGCTCGTCCCTGAAAGTAACGTATTCTAAAGCAGCATTCCGTGAACGTACCTCTGAAAGATCGGAAGGCTATCAATAGTCCCCTATTAGGTTCTAGCAACACGATAATGCAGTGGAAACTCGATATCAAGATCACCGTTATGAGAGGGTCCCTTTAAACCCTTCCAAAACTGAATCACTTAAACATTGGACCAAATTCATTCATCATGTTGAAAAAATAAGCATAAAAAAAGTTTCACATGTACGATAAGATTTACGAAAAAATAAAACTAAATCAAAAGCTTACATCGCGCCTCACGGAAAAGTAGAATTTCTCCTTCACGCTTCACGTTGAAAAACTATTGGAGAAAAATGAATCACCCATTCACGCTTAATGCATGGAAAAGGAACTATAAGGGACCTACCATAATTTCTGGTATAATTCTGAATCTTTGAGTTTAGCCAATGGCACAAATTTACCAAAGGCACATCCTGTCAAAGCCGACTTAACAATGGCTCTAACGAAAAAGTTTGGTCTTCGTGTCACTGTCGTGTGGAGGGCGGTAAAATCGTGAAATTGTATGCTGTAACAAACTTAAACGGACTCAAACTTGTTCCCAGAGTCCACGTTACGGATAAGGATTACGTGGAATCTGGGAACGAGACTGGAAAGGACTCGTGTGGATTTCCAATATCCTCTCTGTTTCTGCGTGGCGGAAGGAAATGAGGGAACCCTGGGAACGACGCAGATAGTGTTAAACCGACTGGGATACCGCGTCGGAACGCCGACAGCCAAGTAAAGATCTCTGATCTTAGCTCGTATTATAAGCATGTCAGATACAAGATAATCAAACAAAGGCCCAGAACAGGACACCGATCCTGTTGCGGGTGGTTTATTCAGCGGGCGTTTTAACAAATCAAAGAATGGACTATACCATCACATTGGTGGTTGTGTTGAATTGAATGCCACCAGAATATAGTTTGTTTATTTCATTTCATTTAAGAAATCACTGCTTTTTTTCTTGTATGGGGAAGTCAAACCAACCATGAACACCGCTCATTCACAGTACAGGTATCTTTAACATATCTCAAAGTACTTTCTTTATGTTTAGTTTCTAGATTTTTCATATTTTCCACTTTTTACTGCTTTCGAGCCCCTTAAAGCCGTATCCCATGTTTTTTTAAAGTCAATTTATGACAATGGAAAATAACACATTGCTCGATGGAAATTCTCCATTTGTTGGTTTTAAATAATCGTTGATTACGGTATTTGAATCGTGGACTGAAAGTTAAAATCTTCTGAGATAAACGATTCTGTGAGATTGACTCTCAAGAGAAGAAAGTTCTCAAAACTAACCCTTAAATTTTCGAATATCTCTGTCATGTATTTGTTTTTGTCTCTCTCGTAACAATGAAGGGGGTGATGTTAGCGAGCGGATCTTTCTCAGATCGCGGCACGTGGTATGAAACGCGTGGTCACCAGTTTTGTCAGCAACTGTTACCAATTGTTGTTGCCGGCGGTAGCATTACACTGCTCGTCTGTTACTTTCAATAATGAAGGAATGCTTTTTCTCATTGAGTCTACTGACAATGGTAAGTATCGATTATTGCATTCACAAACCCCTTATTTTAAAGGCACCTGATTATGTGACAATTTTCGTAACGGAATAAACTTGGCTATTCCTGGTTCTGATGGGCAGACTAAGAATTTTTTTTGATGCGTCATTCTTCTACCATAAACTTCACATCACCCTTTTGTTCTGCTCTCTCAATTGATACCGACAGGCGTTTATGGCCTCGGAGACCTTATGCTTGTTTGCATTTGTAGTTCATCCTTCCCCTGTTTTCATGCACACAGTACAGGGGGTGCTTACCATCTTGCCAAACCAAACAGTCCCGGCAAAAACTAGTGGAATTATCATGAGGAATTGGTCAAAACGACCACCACAAGACATGTATTTACATTCGGCGGAGCTAAACGTAGTGGCAGTGACAGCGAATGTAAATACTTTCCTATTGGTATGAACGCACGTTGGCCGCTATGGCGTTAATTGAGGCTATTGTTGTGAAGTTTATAAGGTTTTGACAGTTGTAATGTATTCATCTCAGCTCTCGAACTATCAACTTTTATTTTTATATCTTACTTTATTCATCTGTTGATTGATTTTTTTACCTTTAACCCCCAGAGTTTGTGCGATCGCATCGGTTGTGGAATACGTTCCCAATTTTTTCCCTTTGGGTTTTTGGGTTTTCGTATCAGGCGGCGCACGTGAATAGTTTAGCCTGAGTGACTTTATTTAGGAATGTTTGTATACCATTCTTAAGTTATGATGTTGAACTTTGTATGTTATTTGGACGGCATTAAACACTCAGGCTGCACAGTTCGAGCTGCACACCCATTCCCGTTTCTTGGTCGTGAATATAAATAGGAATTGGACCGCTTTGGCCAGAAATTTTCACGCGGACCGAAGCGTTTCTTTTATTTCTCCACGGAAATTTTGGCATGATGCCCAAATGATAATGGGAAGCTGCCATGATTTTAATCATTGTCTTTACTTCTTGTATTCAAGAGTCGTACATCTTTTCATGCCACCAAGAGGCTTGCCACGAAAAATGCTTGAGTTTGATAAATTTCAGACCCGGTGCTAGTAGCCGATGTCTTGAAGCCTGCATTGCGATCTCCCATACAAAGGGTCAACCCTTTGATTTTAGAAACTGTTAAGTTTTCGCGGGAGTTTTGGCACGTGCCATTAGTATTATCCACTCAGAGCAGAGCTATGATCATACATCACATGCTGAGCGGAGTGGTGAGCGCGCGAAAAAATCTTTGATCTTCTATCTGAAAGCAGTGGCAATGGCAAAGTAAATACAGCTACGCAACATGTCATTGACAAGCTTCTTATGATCTAAGCACGGGTCTCACTATCTAATGAAAATAACTGGAGTAATCCAGCTGGTACTGGAAGTACTGTTTGCAATCGTTCTTTTTTTAAAATTTCTTCCGAGTCGCCTGTCTCACTGACTGAATAAACATTTTTCTCATAATATCTGACGAGTTTCTTCCAGGAAGTTAAGGGGTTAGGCCCTTGTAAAATCTCGGGATAAGAGTTTGATGGAGAAGAATTCCTCCCCTACCTCCGACGGAACTTGCTCATAAAAGAATCTCATGCAGTTTACCTAATTTACTTTCACCTCTGCGTAACTTTAGTCGCCATTTTGTTCCCTTTTCAGAAGCAGCTTTTCTTTTTACTACTTTGCCTTGGACTCGTGTCAGTTATGTTTCTTTATCAAAATCCTGATTGGGGCCTGGGATCCATCAAGCTTCTTAACCATCAAAGACATTATTTGGTTAGAGTCCAAGTAGGTGAGTTCATTGTTTCATCTATACACGTCTAGATACTTTGAACTCCCGGAGGTCATTTTAACATTTAACACTCTTGTATGGGCCATTCCTCCCTTTTATTGGACAGTAAGTCTTTTACATTGGAGGTAGGATTAGTCAACCTATGAAGGCAAGGTAACCCTTTTACAAGGGTCATTTTCCACCATGACAATGGTCACGACTTTTAGTGAGCGCCTTTAAATGCTCCTTTTATCTGTAGTCATCATGTCCTTTCTCACGCAAACGGCAAACTTCCTGATCATGGGCAGCCTCTGCTATGTATTGCTTTGGCAGTTGGCCGTTAGGTTTGCATCGCAAAGAGTAATATATGAGGCACATGTTACGTTGACGTCGGATACATCAACAATCGGATGGTCATCCGCCCCTGCGAGTATTTGCCTTTGGTTCATGTAGTAAACCTTTGCATCGTAAATCTCAGTTTATCGGCCCTTTCGCCAAAACTTTTGAGAAAATCGTCAGTAAACATAAAACATCTCTTAAGCTTATGTTCTTGGCTTAACCTCACTTCATCTCACTTAATCTTTACTTCACTGTTTTTTTTACCATTTGACTTTTTAGATAAAGCCAGAAACCCTGAGCAACTTACAATAAATGGAGTCCACGACATGACAGAAGCAGAGATAAACCAACAAAGAACTTTGGATTTAAAGCAAAGACTTCTTCTTCTATCAGACGAAGAGAGTCATTCCTCTCTCCAAGAAGAAATAATCTCAAAGCAGGATCAGCAGCGCAAAGATTCTTCTCAGTGTCAGTATGAAGGATTACATATTGCAACAAAGACAGCTGTAAATATGAGTTGTGTGCCCTATAAGAGAACTGACAAGGATTGCCATGAAGCCTTTAGTTACTTTGGGATGTTCAACGTTACGAATTCAGATACACATGACTGCGTAGTGCTTCCTAGCCGGCCAATCTGTACATTTCTCACGGAGTCGAGGTTTGGCCCTACAGAGAGAGTTTCTGTGACATGTTGGAGAGACGTGTGCGACAAGTCATCACCAGTCTTTCTCGGCTGTGCCGATCCCAGGTTTGGAATCGTACACAACGAGAACGATTGGCGCAAATTTCACAGCGTGGGAGAATTGGAGCAAGAGTTACCTGAGATTGTATCTCGAACTTCAATAAATGGTTTTAACTTTTGTTTACTGAAGTGCAAGGAGAGGAGTAAAAGTGTCAAACAAGCTCTAATATTCCCGCCAATTTTAAAACGTGCGACGACGAAAACAGATCATGCAAAGAGAAAGATAAACATTAATATTGTACTTGAGGATTCAGTTTCTCGGTCACACTTTTACAGATCCATGCCTCGCTCGGTCCAGTCTCTTCGTGATATTGCAAAAGATTCTAGTTTCCAGGCCAGTGTGCTGGATTTTGAGCTCGTTCAAAGCTTTGCTTCCTACACTCTTGTGAACACCCAGTTTTTGATGGCAGGCAAATCACTAGAGTATAAATCAGGAAGAACAAACAATATAAACATACTCGCGGAGAAGTTTAAACGTTTTGGATACCAAATTTTAATGCAGGAAGACTTGTGTTGGTATGATGGGTGGGGAAGTTTTCTCTCCCCTTCTTACAAGAAAAACATCGAACCTTTCACAGAGGGATTCAAGCAAGTTTTTGAAAACTACAAACAGGAAACCAATCCTTATTTAGACAATGTGGGTCTCAGTTATCTTTCTTGTGAGATCCTAAAGGATCTTGGGGTTACGAATCCTTTCGGGCGTAAAAAAGGCGACAACACTCTTTGCTGGGATGGCAGATCACTGAGTGAATATCTTCTTTTTTACGTTCGAAGATTTCTGTCATTAATAGATCAAAATCCTGCGGCTGCTCCAGGATTAACTTATACTCATCTTAACACAGGACACGAACCCTCTGGAAAGCGCATTCGAAACGACGATCGATTTTTGTCAAGATTTCTGGGAGAAATGGCGAGAAGCGAAAACACTTTGACAATCATTCTCTCAGATCATGGAGGTAAGACAACAGATTATGCTATCCAAACACTGCAAGGAAGTTTAGAGGTTTATAGCCCAATGCTTTTTATGATCATTCCACATAAAGTAGCACAACGCATGGGCAAAGATAGACTGAACGCTCTTATTGAAAACCAAAAACGCTTAGTCACCGTGTCAGATTTATACTACACGATTACTTCCGTCGCAGAGCTGACAGAAAGTGGTGCCGCGGTCAGTCAGGCCAGTGGCTTACTGAGACCAGTGTCTGTTACTCGCACATGCGCAGATATACAAGGTCTTCATTCGGAGGTAATGTGTCGTTGCGAAGGTTGGACAAAGTTCCTGAGTACAAATTCAGTGGATGTTTTATGGCTAGCAGAGTTTGCCGTTGGACATATTAATAATTTAGTGCAGAAACAATATTTAGCCGGTAAATCAGAAAGCAAACACTTAAGTGGATACGGAAATTGCGCCAGATTTGTTGGAAAAGCTATTGAGCGGCCAAGGCAGGAGATAGCCGGCAAATATTACATTACAACAATGATTTTAGTTGTTGAGCCAGCCTATGGTATTAAATCAAAAGAACGCTTCGAAGTTCAGCTTCGGCACTCAAGCATTCGAGAACACAGAATCACCTTCATTAAATACACACGACTAAGCTTTTATAGNACGCTCTTATTGAAAACCAAAAACGCTTAGTCACCGTGTCAGATTTATACTACACGATTACTTCCGTCGCAGAGCTGACAGAAAGTGGTGCCGCGGTCAGTCAGGCCAGTGGCTTACTGAGACCAGTGTCTGTTACTCGCACATGCGCAGATATACAAGGTCTTCATTCGGAGGTAATGTGTCGTTGCGAAGGTTGGACAAAGTTCCTGAGTACAAATTCAGTGGATGTTTTATGGCTAGCAGAGTTTGCCGTTGGACATATTAATAATTTAGTGCAGAAACAATATTTAGCCGGTAAATCAGAAAGCAAACACTTAAGTGGATACGGAAATTGCGCCAGATTTGTTGGAAAAGCTATTGAGCGGCCAAGGCAGGAGATAGCCGGCAAATATTACATTACAACAATGATTTTAGTTGTTGAGCCAGCCTATGGTATTAAATCAAAAGAACGCTTCGAAGTTCAGCTTCGGCACTCAAGCATTCGAGAACACAGAATCACCTTCATTAAATACACACGACTAAGCTTTTATAGCAAATATGAAAATTGCGCAGACAGGGGCGTGGACGTGAAACTTTGCGCCTGCGCGACTCCGCGCCGAGGGTCGCATCAATTATCAGTGAAGAAACTGATCCGCTCTCGCCATTTTGTAGATTACGGACTGAAGAGTAGCACGCGATCACTGGACTCTAAATGTTTGTTGGTGACTATACGGAGCCTAAAGAAATATGTCGTGTCTAAAAGGCAGACTCGCTTGATGAGTATTGAAGTTGCAAATGTGTGCAGGGACATTTCGATGAAAGTTAAGTTGGGGGGCATTCACAGGAAAACAAAATTTTCCCAAACATTACCGTTGTCTTTAGTCGTTAATCCAAGGACAATACATTATGTGCTGTCAGTACTCCATGAGTGGAAGTATGGATTGTTTAGACCAGCTTTCATGCACGTGCCCATCAACCATACCGCGGGTGGTGATCTTTCAAGAAAAAAGCGTGACATACTAGAGTTTACGTGACATAGGCGAGATGTTGCCTCGGCTGTTAGTGGAGAGACCGCCCTCTTGTAAAACCACCTCTCGTCCGCTCATTAGCTCACGGTCAGAAAAAAAAACTCCTGGACAGATGGTTCCTATACGGCGTTTTCCCAGGCCTTCTCGGTCAATGCATTTCGGTGACGTATTTGAGAAAAACTTGCTCTGACCACGTGACCCGAAACGCATCGGCCGGGCGCAATAATAAGGCCCAGGAACTTGGCAAGGTAAATTTGAAGATTCCAAACGTCATAGGACGAAATAGAATGATAATAGGTCATAATTCTGCTTTAGGGGTACGTCACTATTATGCAAGGTAAAACTTTACTAGTGAAACGCCTGTTTGTTTAAACATTTGATATCTTGTCACTTATTGCTATTACAGGTTTTAAAGGACTTTTCCGCCTTTTATCTTAAAGATACTGTCCCGACATGCATTTAATTTTAAGAGTAACATGTTAATTACGAATGCTTCTGATCTTTTTATAGCCTGTGGTGAATATCCTGGCGTGACCATTCAAATAAAACCATTTTTCTTCATTACCTTTTGAATCTTTACGGTACAATTTGCTTTTTGTAACTATACAAAATAACATGTGGAATTTATGTTTCAGTTACACTTTTTTCCAGTGTTCTCCACCCTGCTTTTTTGCAGGGTATATTTCTCCATTCATATCCAAATGAATAGCAATCATGACTGTGATAATCAGGCCAAGGATGTCAAGGTCCAAATTGTTCAGAAGGTGGATATTCCTACCGCTCTATCAAGTTGTTAACTCGATTGGTTTCCCTAGTACTTATTTATCCGGTGGAAGCGCTATTCAAAGTTTGACCCTTCTTGTCTCCATAGCCAATCGACTTAATTTGTAAAGACCACGTGACCAAAAGAAACGACGGGCTCTGGGGACGAGAAAGAAGTTTGACCATCACATGTTCCAAACCTCACTTGCGTTTGGTTCGGCACATGTGAAATTCGCCAGGCGTAACTTTGCGCCACATTAGGCCAGGAGCTTAAGCCACAACAACGGCGACGCCGGGCTACAATAACGTCACTTAATAAGTGAAGTCGCGCTGCTTCGAACTTGATTGCGCATTTTCCATCTCGTCAATTCGTTAAGTGTTGACAATTTTTTCTATAGTTGAGGACTAGAAGACAGTATTAAAGTTCAGAGGGAAAAAAAAGAAAGTCGTTGTCTTGTGTTCACGCCCTCCACAAAAGGTGAAATTAGGTGACTGAAACGAAATGTACAGAAAAGCGTGAGGCTGCACGTGCAAAGTTGTTGTTTTGCCAAAATAAACCTTTTGCTTTTTGGCCCTTCTCCTTGACGTCACGGACGTCGCTGTCGCTGGTTAAAGGAGCTGTGTCACAAAATTCAGACAAAGTAGGTAATTACAAAATGCCCGTTAAACTGAGAGAAACTTAAAAATAACCACCTAAAACATTAAAGGAAGGTTGAAATAACACAGCAGAAACAACAGATTCCACGGATGGGCAAAAATCAAGAAGATTGAAATGGATTGAAATTAGGGTTTTTGAAAACTGTTCAGCCTAACAGTTTTTCAAAGTTGATTCCTGCTGCTTGCAACTTCATAAAAAATGTTCAGGAGACATATTTATTTGTTTCTGATCTCTGATATTTGTCATTTACATGTAATTTCTGTGCTTACTTTAAGTTCCATAGTGATTGAGGGCGAGTAATTGGCAAAATGAAACAAACTGAACTGGACTGCCATGACAGAGCCCCCTTAAGTTCCCTCAGTTAGGATGTTTGAGATCCAACAACGCGACGGCAACGAGAACGTCGCTTAGAAAATGAATTTGTGTTTTTTCAGTCTTTATCGCGATTATTTTTACACACTTACTTTGTCATATGTAGGCGAACTCTCCCGGAGTTAAATTCCTAGGGACCATATCCAAGTTTAGCGAGAAAATAAAATTTCCTTATTGCTTGTTTAAGTACTCCATAAAACGTGAAATTAAGAATTTTCATGTTGTACTCGTGCAAAAACGGGCAAAGAAATGTACGAAAAAGCGTGATGCATTGTTGTTGTTTCGATCATAATTATATAAAACCTATTGTTTTTTTAACGTTCTCGTTGCCGTCCGCGTCGTTGGATCTTAAAGTCCCTAGTGATGTAGCAGGGCGCCGCGCTTATGAATAGTCTGTTATTGTCTTAAATGACAGAGGTGCCTAGCCTGCGTAGCAAGCGTCGAAAGGGTAGGGAATTGAGAGGAAGACAAAAAGGAAGAGGGAGTGTGATTTTCCCTTTCCCGCTTTTCTCTCTCACCCCCTCCCCTCCCCCTCCCCTTTTTGCATCTGCCACACAGGCTAGAGGTGCCAATTAATTGGGGGTGGTTCCCCTCTGAGTAAATACGAAACTTCTAGGATTAAGAAATAAAAAAGATATAAACAACAAATCAAATTAACTTAAGCAATAATAAGATATACTCAAAAAAGATCACCGTTGCTTAAAAGCTTTGAAAGAAAATTTTTCTGAGCCCTCTCTTAAAAACCTTCAGTACTATCTTCATGTACCACTTGGTTCTTAAAGGTACACTAATTGTATAATTCGTACCGAAACCGAAAAAAATTAACAATTTTCAAATACTGTACAAACTAACTTACGGTTAAGTAGTTGGGGATGGGGAAGTTCAATTGGGGTTAGTCTCACTTTCAAAATTGGTCCTTGTTCTCCTCTTTTTTATGAATACGAGATCAGTTGAAAATAGCGCATTTGAAATAATCGCTGAAATTTTTCGCGGTGTAAGGGACTGGTCAAAAATTAAAGTATGGGGGGGGGGGGGGGGGGGGGGGGGGGAGGGGGGGGGGGGGGGGGGGGGGGGGGGGGGGGGGCGGGAGCAGAGGGGGGGTGGGTCATGAGGTTTTGAGCCTAGTGCAAGGGGTGGGTCGTGCAATTTTCAGCTACCCTTAGGGGGTGGGTCACCCTATTTTATTACATAAATAGGCACTAACTACTAACAAGACAGTTGACTACACTTGTTATATAAAACACAGCCAGCTGGAATTATTGCTAAAATACTCAGAAACCTCAGTGTTGTGCGAAAAAATACAAAGGGTGAAAGGCCGCACAACTATACGGGCGTGGAACCCTCTGTTAACCTTTTTTTTGGCTCTAACGAGCATGTCCTTTAATGATTTTCCTTTTTTGTAAGGAAATGATTGGTGGTTCTTTAAAAATTTTTTGAGGTTATAGTTGGTTTTGTATAAGATTCCATTTTTTCATTCAAGCTTCCTTTATAGTAGACGGCTGAGGGCTGATATTGTGTCACGAATGGCAATTTTTCTTTTTCCTCCTGTTGTTTTGTTTTAGAAGTTTAGACTCCCTTTGGTGAATTTTATTTCTGATAGTAGGTTTTCTATCAAAGATTGTGGGTAGCCTCCGTCCATCAAGCGTTTTTTTTAAAATTTGAATTATTTTTCTCAAAGGTTGTTTCTGAGGAGTTTTTTCATAGGATTCTCAAGGCTTCTCCTTTGACAAATCCTTTTTTAACATTTGGAGGGTGACACGAGGTGAAATGTGTGTGCAAGGAGGTTTCTGTTTGTTTAAAATGTGTCTTTGCATCAAGGATAGATTTTACCTTGAATCTTGTGCCTTTGTATACAACTGTGTCTAAAAACGCAGTCTCAGGGTCAAATGTTTCAGCCGTGAATTCAATAGTTGGGTGATGTAAGTTTGCTTGTTCAATGAAGGCTTCGATGTCTGGTTTACTCATGTCCTATAGGGAAAATATATCGTGTATGAAGCATTTCCAAACTGTTGTTCTGAAGACAGTTTTGCTTGGAGTTGTTGTTTCAATATATGCCATTAAAATATTGGCAAAGGAATCAAATCTGCTGTCTTTGTGCCCATTGCAGTTCCATAGTTTTGCAGGTAGTGCTTTGCATTGAAGTGGAAGAAATTTTCTTTGAGGATTAATCTAAACATTTCCGGCAAGTAATGTGTAGGAATGGGTTGTCTTTCTAGAAATTTTAATTTGCTTTGTGACAGACAATTTCAATGTACCCTCGTTTTGCTGTATATTTGTGTCAAGACTCATAATGTCCATCGAAACAAGAAATGTTCGGTTTTTCACTTTTGTCTTTTCAGTGAAAGGTATGATTTCTGTGATTTTGATATTGGTTGTAGCAGCTAGTGTGAAAGTGAAGAATGATCATCGCAGTAAATTTTCCAATTAAAGCAGTTGGAAAGAAGAAGCCTGAAAAAAATCAGGGCTTCAACGGGATTCGAACCCGTGACCTCCGCGTTACCGGTGCGTTGCTCTACCAACTGAGCTATGAAGCCACACATTGGGAGCGAGGTCAATTTACTACTACAACCGCAGTTCAAAAATGAATTATTTTCATATATACTTCACATCATTTCACTCCTCACGGGAGATATGAACTCAATAAATTGACCCCGCTCCCAATGTGTGGCTTCATAGCTCAGTTGGTAGAGCAACGCACCTGTAACGCGGAGGGCACGGGTTCGAATCCCCTTGAAGCCCTGATTTTTCTTCAGGCTTCTTCTTTCCAATTGCTTTAATTGGAAAATTTACTGCGATGATCATCCTTCACTTTCATCTACAACCGCAGTTCAAAAATGAATTATTTTCATATATACTTCACCGCAGCTAGTGTATCAGCAAATTTTGTCAAGCGCAGAACAAGGTTTTATTGGATTATTAAGAGGAAACCAAACATCCATGTTTTAACTAGGGGGTGGGTCATGCAATTTCCAACTTTGCTTTAGGGGTGGGTCAGTCATTTTTGTGCCGAAGGGAGGGGGTGGGTCATGTGTTTTTTATCAACCACATTTCCAAATGCTCCGGCCCACCCCCCCCCATACTTTTTGACCAGTCCCTAAATGAATTATTATTATTATCATTATCATTAGTAGTTCCCTTGGGCGTTGTAAGAGAGGAGAGTTAATAGCAGGTCCTAGTATGTTTAGAAAGCGTATGATCCTCTTGCCTCCCATTATTGGGTGACAGAACTGTACTTTTCACATTGTTCGACCAAAGCAATGGAGCATTTTTTGATTGGTTGTTGTCTATCTACCATCATTTGCAGTAGCGCAGGCAAAAGGTTTAATTCCTGAGCTTTCCTGAGGATAAATTTAGCCGTATCTTGCAAGTGCGACACTCCTTGCTGTAGTTGTTTCCATTTCCTGACCCGCCTTTCGGCGACAGCAGCAAAAATGAAGTAAACCAACCCGCCAATTATCAATAATGCACCTCCCCCGATCAGAACACCAAAAACTGCAGGAAGAATCTGGCTGTTCCATGCCATCCACGCTATGACTCCACCAAGGATTAGTCCTAAGAGTATCGACAAAATCCAGGCTCGTCTTCCGTGTTGTTTTTTATTGTCTCGGAGTATTCTTCAACAAGACTAGGATATATATTTGCTCGCGCTCCAATCTTTTTATGCCTGAAAGAGCCCAAATGGGCTTTGAGCCAATAGCCCATGAGGCCGAAGGCCGAATGGGCTCAATATTAACTCAGAGGCCATAAGGGCGAGAGGAATAATTGTTTTAGTAAAATCCAACTAGTTGGTCAAAAATACCGAGAATAAAAACGTTTTAACTACTTAAAGCTAGACTTTAATCCTTTTTTGCCGCCAAAAAGCCGGCGCTTTTCGCTACTAGTGGGCTGTAACATATAGCTAGTAGTAGCTCAACCAATCAGAACGCAGCATTCATAATAGACCAGTAGTTGGATTTTACTAATATTACTTATTAGTGGACACATTCGGACAAATTGTTCCTCGATCATAGACTGACATGGAGCAAATCGAATGGCCGAGAATGGAGTCAGATGAGTCATCGTTTACTAATTTTTCGATGTTTCATTCTCTGTGTTAGAAATTATTGCGTCATTGTGGCGGGAAAACTCGTCACGTGATCTGAAAACTGAGCTTTGTACGAGAGTCTTAGAACTGTGTAGTCGTTTGGAGTCGTGGATCTGATCAAGTGTGTAGATTGAGTGTAGATCATCGAATTTTTACGCGAATTGATGTCGATGAATCCTTTAAGTGTAGACCAGAGTACAGAATTCTAAAATATGAACATGTGAAGAAATATGCTTTCATGGAGTGAAGAATAAAAGCTACAGAGAACTGATTATATCATACAAATTTGGTTACACTCTGAAAGGCTAAATTTTTGTTGGCTGGGAACCTTTATCTGGAACAAAACTTTACTTAATTGACTGACAACGCATATTGGCAAGTCATCAGGTCAGACTAGGAACCACTGGTGAGAAAAGTTAGAAAAATTTAAACCAACTGCACAGAAATTTTATTATTCGAGTAGGGTTACGTATGCGTAAAAACTAATTGGCAAATGATTAAAATTACCCCGTAAGTTGTTGTATAACTTTATCATCGAAACACCTTTCAGTGTAGTTTAACCGGATTTTAAACATTCTTGGTCAGTAATCCACAGCTGTTAAGATTTTTTGACGATTATTAATTTTCGACTTTTTCGTCTTCAGCTTATATAACAGCACCTCTGAAAATATGAAAGTCTAATAAAATCTGTGACTTCCTAATTACTCGTGTACAGATAAGCTTCCAGTCAACAGGTGGGGCATTGAAAGTCTTCTTTAAAGTTAATACCGCATGGCTGGTGTCCTTACCTTGTCAACAGAGTGCGAAATTTCTCTTCAAGCAGCTTGGTTATTGTCAAAATTGTCTCAACTTCTGATTCTTTCGGTTCATTTTCCGTGAACTGAGTGAAACATTCCATGGTTTCTTTTAATGTGGACAACGTCTCTTTTTCGAGATCTTCCCAGTCAGAACTAATGTTGTCGAGATCTTCTTTTATTCCTTCGTACGACAGATTTTCGTTGGATTCCAGATTGGTGAGTGCTTGGTATCCATTTGTAAAACATTCCATTATTTTATCGCAAACGTCGCAGCAGGCCATGTTGTACCGGAGATGCACCTGTCGCCTATACATTTCAAACGACAGGAATGAAAAACAGGGGTGAAAGATCCATGGGTTAGGTCAAGAGAATCGTCAAGCATTTGCACTGATAACGTCAGTTTGAATTTGTGCAATTAATCTGCAAGTAGTATTCTCGACTCAGACCAACTTTGCTGACATCATAGCTTAAAAAGGAACAGTAACGTCATCATTTACCTTTAGTATCACTACTTTTCGCGAGACTTTATTTTCGTGAATTTCGCGATTTAAGAAATTTCGCGAAATTAAAGTGTCGCGAAAGTTAAAGACGCGAAATTTATAGTGACCTATACTATATTTTATACATTTTCGGTCTGATACACACGAGTAAAAGGGCTCAATTTTCGGTTCAATGTATGTCCTTGTTCCTCATCATCTGACTCATCTTGCTGAATTAGCTCCTGTAACACTTCCTCAGCAGTCTTTAAATTTGCCAACAACAACAATTCCTCCCCTACCTCCGACAGAACTTGCTCATAAAAGAACCTCAGTTTATCTAATTTACTTTCACCTCTGCGTAANGTGAGTGCTTGGTATCCATTTGTAAAACATTCCATTATTTTATCGCAAACGTCGCAGCAGGCCATGTTGTACCGGAGATGCACCTGTCGCCTATACATTTCAAACGACAGGAATGAAAAACAGGGGTGAAAGATCCATGGGTTAGGTCAAGAGAATCGTCAAGCATTTGCACTGATAACGTCAGTTTGAATTTGTGCAATTAATCTGCAAGTAGTATTCTCGACTCAGACCAACTTTGCTGACATCATAGCTTAAAAAGGAACAGTAACGTCATCATTTACCTTTAGTATCACTACTTTTCGCGAGACTTTATTTTCGTGAATTTCGCGATTTAAGAAATTTCGCGAAATTAAAGTGTCGCGAAAGTTAAAGACGCGAAATTTATAGTGACCTATACTATATTTTATACATTTTCGGTCTGATACACACGAGTAAAAGGGCTCAATTTTCGGTTCAATGTATGTCCTTGTTCCTCATCATCTGACTCATCTTGCTGAATTAGCTCCTGTAACACTTCCTCAGCAGTCTTTAAATTTGCCAACAACAACAATTCCTCCCCTACCTCCGACAGAACTTGCTCATAAAAGAACCTCAGTTTATCTAATTTACTTTCACCTCTGCGTAACTTTTCCAGCCTTTTTGTTACCTTTACAGAAGCAGCTTTTCTTTTTACTGCTTTGCCTTGGACTCGTGTCAGTAATGTTTCTTTATCAAAATCCTGATTGGGGCCTGGGATCCATCAAGCTTCTTAATCATCAAAGACATTTTTTGGTTACAGTCCAAGCTGGTGAGTTAATAGTTTAATCTATACACGTATTGTTACTTTGAACTCCCGGGGGTCATTTTAACATTTACCACTCTTGTATGGGCCATTCCTTCCTTTTATTGGACAGTAAGTCTTTTACATTGGAGGTAGGATTAGTCAACCTGTGCGGGTAGTGTATCCCTTTTAAAAGGGTCATTTTCCACCATGACAATGGTCGCTTTTAGTGAGCGCCTTTAAATGCTCCTTTCAAGTTATCTGTAGTCAACCCGTCGTTCTCCAAGCAAACGGCAAACTTCCTGATCATGGGCAGCCTCTGCTATGTATTTCTTTGGCCGTTGGCCGTTAGGTTTGCCTCGCAGAGTAATCCCATATGAAGTTCATGTTACGTTGACGTCGGATATATCAACAATCGGTTGGTCATCCGCCCCTGCGAGTATTTGCTTTGGGTTCATGTAGTAAACCTGTGCATTGTAAATCTCAGTTTATTGGCCCTTTCGCCAAAACGTTTGAGGAAATCGTCAGTAAAACATCAAACATCTTTTAAGCTTCAACAATGATTAATCTGCTCTTGGCTTAATCATAGTGGTCTCCTTACGTTATTGAAATGATGCTTTAATTATTTACTTCACTGTTTTTTTTCTACTATTTGATTTTTTAGATAAAGCCAGAAACCCTGAGCAACTTACAATAAATGGAGTCCACGACATGACAGAAGCAGAGATTAACCAACAAAGAACTTTGGATTTAAAGCAAAGACTTCTTCTTCTATCAGACGAAGAGAGCCATTCGTCTCTCCAAGAAGAAATAATCTCAAAGCAGGATCAGCAGCGCAAAGATTCTTCTCTGTGTCAGTATGAAGGATTACATATTGCAACAAAGAAAGCTGTAAATATGAGTTGTGTGCCCTATAAGAGATCTGACAAGGATTGCCATGAAGCCTTTAGTTACTTTGGGATGTTCAACGTTACGAATTCAGATACACATGACTGCGTAATGCTTCCTAGTCGGCCAATTTGTTCATTTCTCACGGAGTCGAGGTTTGGCCCCACAGAGAGAGTTTCTGTGACATGTTGGAGAGACGTGTGCGACAAGTCATCACCAGTCTTTCTCGGCTGTGCGGATCCCAGGTTTGGAATCGTACACAACGAGAACGATTGGCGCCAATTTCACAGCGTGGGAGAATTGGAGCAAGAGTTACCTGAGATTGTATCTCGAACTTCAATAAATGGTTTTAACTTTTGTTTACTGAAGTGCAAGGAGAGGAGTAAAAGTGTCAAACAAGCTCTAATATTCCCGCCAATTTTAAAACGTGGGACGACGAAAACAGATCATGCAAATAGAAAGATAAACATTAATATTGTACTTGAGGATTCAGTTTCTCGGTCACACTTTTACAGATCCATGCCTCGGTCGGTCCAGTCTCTTCGTGATATTGCAAAAGATTCTAGTTTCCAGGCAAGTGTGCTGGATTTTGAGCTCGTTCAAAGCTTTGCCTCCAACACTCTTGTGAACACCCAGTTTTTGATGGCAGGCAAATCACTAGAGTATAAATCAGGAAGAACAAACAATATAAACATACTCGCGGAGAAGTTTAAACGCTTTGGATATCAAATTTTAATGCAGGAAGACTTGTGTTGGTATGATGGGTGGGGAACTTTTCTCTCCCCTTCTTACAAGAAAAACATCGAACCTTTCACAGAAGGATTCAAGCAAGCTTTTGAAAACTACAAACAAGAAACCAATCCTTATTTAGACAATGTGGGTCTCAATTATCTTTCTTGTGAGATCCTAAAGGATCTTGGATTTACGAATCCTTTCGGGCGTAAAAAAGGCGACAACACTCTTTGTTGGGATGGCAGATCACTGAGTGAATATCTTCTTTTTTACGTTCGAAGATTTCTGTCATTAATAGATCAAAATCCTGCGGCTGCTCCTGGATTAACTTATACTCATCTTAATACAGGACACGAACCCTCTGGAAAGCGCATTCGAAACGACGATCGACTTTTGTCAAGATTTCTTGAAGAAATGGTTAGAAGCGAAAACACTTTGACAATCATTCTCTCAGATCATGGAGGTAAGACAACAGATTATGCTATCCAAACACTGCAAGGAAGTTTAGAGGTTTATAGCCCAATGCTTTTTATGATCATTCCACATAAAGTAGCACAACGCTTGGGCAAAGATAGACTGAACGCTCTTATTGAAAACCAAAAGCGCTTAGTCACGGTGTCGGATTTACACTACACGATTACTTCCGTCGCAGAGCTGACAGAAAGTGGTGCCGCGGTCAGTCAGACCAGTGGCTTACTGAGACCAGTGTCTGCTACTCGCACATGCGCAGATATACAAGGTCTTCCTTCGGAGGTGATGTGTCGTTGCGAAGGTTGGACAAAGTTCCTGAGTGCAAATTCAGTGGATGTTTTATGGCTAGCAGGGTTTGCCGTTGGACATATTAATAATTTAGTGCAGAAACAATATTTAGCCGGTAAATCAGAAAGCAAACACTTAAGTGGATACGGAAATTGCGCCAGATTTGTTGGAAAAGCTATTGAGCGGCCAAGGCAGGAGATAGCCGGCAAATATTACATCACAACAATGATTTTAGTTGTTGAGCCAGCCTATGGTATTAAATCAAAAGAACGCTTCGAAGTTCAGCTTCGGCACTCAAGCATTCGAGAACACAGAATCACCTTCATTAAATACACACGACTAAGCTTTTATAGTAAATACGAAAATTGCGCAGACAGGGGCGTGGACGTGAAACTTTGCGCCTGTGCGACTCCGCGCCAAGGATCGCATCAATTATCAGTGGAGAAACTGATCCGCTCTCGCCATTTTGTAGATTACGGACTGAAGAGTAGCACGCGATCACTGAACTCTAAATGTTTGTTGGTGACTGTACGGAGCCTAAAGAAATATATCGTGTTTAAAAGGCAGCCTCTCTTGATGAGCATTGAAGTTGCAAATGTGTGCAGGGACATTTCGATGAAAGTTAAGTTGGGGGGAATTCACAGGAAAACAAAATTTTCCCAAACATTACCGTTGTCTTTAGTCGTTAAGCCAAGGACAATACATTATGTGCTGTCAGTACTCAATGAGTGGAGGTATGGCTTTTTTAGACCAGCTTTCATGCACGTGCCCATTAACCAGACCGTGGGTGGTGATCTTTCAAGAAGAAAGCGTGACATACTAGAGTTTACGTGACATAGGCGAAATGTTGCCTCGGCTGTTACTGGAGAGACCACCCTCTTATAAAACCACTTCTAGTCCGCTCACTAGCTCACAGTCAGAAAAACAACCTCCTGGACAGATGGTACCTATACGGCGTTTTTCCAGGCCTTCTCGGTCAATGCATTTCGGTGACGTATTCCAGAAAAACTTGCTTGGACCACGTGACCCGAAACACATCGGCCGGGCGCAATAATAAGGCCTAGGAACTTGGCAAGGTAAATTTGAAGATTCCAAACGTCATAGGACGGAAACAGAATGATAATAGGTTATGCTTTAGGGGTACGTCACTATTATGCATGGTAAAACGTTATTAATCAATTATTAATGCCGGTTTGTTTAGACATTACCCTGCGAGCAGAGGCTACACTTTCGCGGTATGAGCTGGCGCACGCCAGCTCATACCGCGAAAATGTAGCCTCTGCTCGCAGGGTATTTAGACATTTGATATCTTGTCACTTTATTGCTATTAGAAGCTTTAAACGACTTTTTTTCGTTTTAGCTTAAAATACTGTCGCGACATGCATTTAATTTTAAGAGTTACATGTTAATTACGAGCGCTTCCGATCATTTTATAACCTGTGGTGAATATAATATCCTGGCGTGAACATTCAAATAAAAGCTTTTTTCTACATAACCTTTTGAATCTTTACGGTACAATTAGCTTTTTGTAACTATACAAAATAACATGTGGAATTTATATTTCAGTTACACCTTTTTCCAGTGTGCTCCGCCCTGCTTTTTTGCAGGGTATATTTCTCCATTCATATCCAAATGAATAGCAATTATGACTGTGAAAATCAGGCCAAGGATGTCAGGGTCCCAATTGTTTAAAAGGTGGCCTACCACTCTATCAGGTTCTTAGATTGGTTTCCCTAGTACTGATTTATCCGGTGAAAGCGCTATTCAAAGTTTGACCATTCTCGTCTCCATAGACAATCGACTTAATTTGTCAAGACCACGTGACCAAAAGAAACGACGGGCTCTGGGGACGAGAAAGAAGTTTGACCATCACATGTTCCAAACCCCATTTGCGTTTAGTTTGGCACATATGAAATTTGCCCAGGCGTAACTTTGCGCCACATTAGGCCAGGAGCTTAAGCCACAACAACGGCGACGCCGGGCTACAATAACGTCACTTAATAAGTGAAGTCGCGCTTCTTCAAACCTGATTGCGCTTTTTCCATCTCGTTCAGTTCGTTAAGTGTTGAAAATTTTTTCTATAGTTGAGGACTAGAAGACTGTTTTAAAGTTCAGAGGAAAAAAAAGAAAGTCGTTGTCTTGTGTTCACGCCCGCCACAAAACGTGAAATTAGGTGACTGAAAAGAAATGTACAGAAAAGCGTGATGCACGTGCAAAGTTGTTGTTTTGCCAAAATAAACCTTTTGCTTTTTGGCCCTTTTCCTTGACGGCGCCGACATCGCTGTTGCTGGTTAAAGGAGCTGTGTCGCAAAATTCAGACAAAGTACTGGTAATTACAAAATGCCCGTTAAATTAAGAGAAACATAAAAAAACCACCTAAAACATGAAAGGAAGGTTAAAATAACACAACAGAAACAACAGATTCCACGGATGGGCAAAACTGAAGAAGATTGAAATGGATTGAAATTAGGGTTTTTGTAAACTGTTCAGCCTAACAGTTTTTCAAAGTTGATCCCTGCTGCTTGCAACTTCATGAATAATGCTCAGGAGACATATTTGTTTGTTTCTGATCTCTGATATTTGTCATTTACATGTAATTTCTGTGCTTACTTTAAGTTCCATAGTGATTGAGGGCGAGAAATTGGCAAAATGAAACAAACTGAACTGGACTGCAATGACACAGCCCCTTTAAGCTCCCTCTGTTAGGATCTTTGAGATCCAACAACGCGACGGCAACGAGAACGTCGCTTAGAAAATGAATTTGTGTTATTTCAGTCTTTATCGCGATTATTTTTACACACTTACTTTGTCATATGTAGGCGAACTCTCCTGGAGTTAAATTCCTAGGGACCATATCCAAGTTCAGAGAGAAAAAAAAATTTCGTTATTGCTTGTTTACGTACTCCATAAAACGTGAAATTAAGAATTTTCATGTTGTACTCGTGCAAAAACGGGCAAAGAAATGTACGGAAAAGCGTGATGCCTTTTCAAAGTTGTTATTTCGGTCATAATTATATAAAACCTATTGTTTTTTTAACGTTCTCGTTGCCGTCCGCGTCGTTGGATCTTAAAGTCCCTAGTGATGTAGCAGGGCGCCGCGCTTATGAATAGTCTGTTATTGTCTTAAATGACAGAGNAGAAGATTGAAATGGATTGAAATTAGGGTTTTTGTAAACTGTTCAGCCTAACAGTTTTTCAAAGTTGATCCCTGCTGCTTGCAACTTCATGAATAATGCTCAGGAGACATATTTGTTTGTTTCTGATCTCTGATATTTGTCATTTACATGTAATTTCTGTGCTTACTTTAAGTTCCATAGTGATTGAGGGCGAGAAATTGGCAAAATGAAACAAACTGAACTGGACTGCAATGACACAGCCCCTTTAAGCTCCCTCTGTTAGGATCTTTGAGATCCAACAACGCGACGGCAACGAGAACGTCGCTTAGAAAATGAATTTGTGTTATTTCAGTCTTTATCGCGATTATTTTTACACACTTACTTTGTCATATGTAGGCGAACTCTCCTGGAGTTAAATTCCTAGGGACCATATCCAAGTTCAGAGAGAAAAAAAAATTTCGTTATTGCTTGTTTACGTACTCCATAAAACGTGAAATTAAGAATTTTCATGTTGTACTCGTGCAAAAACGGGCAAAGAAATGTACGGAAAAGCGTGATGCCTTTTCAAAGTTGTTATTTCGGTCATAATTATATAAAACCTATTGTTTTTTTAACGTTCTCGTTGCCGTCCGCGTCGTTGGATCTTAAAGTCCCTAGTGATGTAGCAGGGCGCCGCGCTTATGAATAGTCTGTTATTGTCTTAAATGACAGAGGTGGTTAGCCTGCGTTGCAAGCTTCGAAAGGGTAGGGAATAGGGAGGAAGACAAAAAGGAAAGGGGGTTGCGATTTTCCCTTTCGCGCTTTTCTCTCTCTCACCCCCTCCCCCTCCCCTTCCCCCGCCCCTTTTTGCGCCTGCCACACAGGCTAGAGGTGCTAATTAATTGGGGGGTGGTTCCCCTCTGAGTAAATACGAAACTTCTAAGATTAAGAAATAAAAAGGATATAAACAAAAAATCAATATAAACTTAAGCAATAATAAAATATACTAAAAAAAATTACCTTCGCTTAAAAGCTTTGAAACGAAAATTTTCGGAGCCCGCTCTTAAAAACCTTTCAGTACTATCTTCATGTACCACTTGGTTCTTATAGGTAAACTAATTGTATAATTCCTACCGAAAAATAATATTAAAAAAATTAACAATTTTAAAATACTATACAAACTAACTTAAGGTTAAGTAGTTGGGGATGGGGAACTTCAATAGGGGTTAGTCTCACTTTCAAAATTGGTCCTTGTTCTCTTCATTTTAATGAATACGAGATCAGTTGAAAATAGCGCATTTGAAAACATGGTTGAAATTTTGGCGGTGTAAATGAATTATTATCATTATCATTAGTAGTTTTCTTGGGCGTTGTTAGAGAGGAGAGTTAATAGCAGGTCCTAGTATGTTTAGAAAAGGTATGATCCTCTTGCCTCCCATTATTGGCTGACAGAACTGTACTTTTCACATTGTTCAACCAAAGCAATGGAGCATTTTTTGATTGGTTGTTGTCTATCTACCATCATTTGCAGTAGCGCAGGCAAAAGGTTTAATTCCTGAGCTTTCCTGCGGATAAATTTAGCCGTATCTTGCAAGAGCGACACTCCTTGCTGCAGTTGTTTCCATTTCCTGACCCCTCTTTCCGCGACAGCAGCAAAAATGAAGTAAACCAACCCGCCAATTATCAATAATGCACCTCCCCCGATCAGAACACCAAAAACTACAGGAAGAATCTGGCTTTTCCATGCCGTCCACGCTATGACTCCACCAAGGATCAGTCCTAAGAGTATCGACAAAATCCAGGCACGTTTTCCGTGCGTCACAATGTTGTTTTTCATTGTCTCGGAGTATTGGTACCGCTCTTCAACAAGACTAGGATATACATTTGCTCGCGCTCCAATCTTTGTATGCCTGAAAGTATATTATCACTTATCAGTGGACACATTCGGATGGATTGTTCTTCGATCACAGACAGACATCACATCGAATGGCCGAGAATGGAGTCAGATGGGTCATCGTTTACTAATTTTTCGATGTTTTCATTTTTCGATCTTCCATTCTCTGGAGGGCTAAATTTTGTTGGCTGGGAACCTTTCTCTGGAACAAAAGTTTTGTGATTGACAACACATTTTTGCAAGTCATCAGATCAGACTCGGAACAGCTAGTGAGAAAAGTTAGCAAATTTAAACCAACTGCAGAGAAATTTTATTATTTGAGTAGGGTTACGTATGCGTAAAAAATAATTGGCAAATGATTAAAATTATCCTGTAAGTTGTTTTATAACTTTATCATCGAAAAATCTTTCAGTGCAGTTTAACCAGATTTTAAGCCTTCTTGGTCAGTCATCCACAGCTGTTAAGATTTTTCGACGATTATTAATTTTCGACTTTTTCGTCTTCAGCTTATATAACAGCACCTCTGAAAATATGAAAGTGTAATGAAATCTGTGACCTCCTAATTACCCCTATAGATAAGCTTCCAGTGAACAGGTGGTGCATTCAAAGTCTTCTTAAAAGTTAATACCGCATGGCTGGTGTCCTTACCTTGTCAACAGAGTGCGAAATTTCTCTTCAAGCAGCGTGGCTCTTGTCAAAATTGACTCAACTTCAGATTCTTTCGGTTCATTTTCCGTGAACTGAGTGAAATATTCCATGGTTTCTTTTAATGTGGACGACGTCTCTTTTTCGAGATCTTCCCAATCAGAACTAATGTTGTCGAGATCGTTTTTTATTCCTTCGTA